TATTTCTCTCTAGACATTTACAGTATGAAAACCTTTAGTCATAAGGTTTATTTAACATCCTGAAAAAGCCCATTTAGTTCTGCATTTCGACTCTCAATAATGTCAACCAAGCAGAGATCAGAACAGGCACACATACCCGATCCAGTCAGTTTCAGCGCATTTCCCAGTATTATATTTCTTTCCTGATGGCGAGCAAAATTAACTGTTAAGAGGAGGCTGGTTTGAATACTTTGGGAATTCTCTTTATCCTATTTTGTAAGGCTTACTTATACTAACACTTGTTCCTGGGAATAATCTGCTTATCACGGATCTAAATTATATTAAATCATGCTAAAACCTAGCCTTTTGTTCTTATTCGAAGGACTATCTCAACTTGTCTAAAGTAACTGACCTATCTCAGATCATTTTTAACAGGCCTTCAGACTTTTTTATATTCTTCTGATTATTCCAGTATAATGCGATAACAGACCTGCTGGTATGTGGTTTATTCTTAATTTGCCAGGTGCTGATGACGCGACTTTATTTGTTTTTTAGCCAAATCTTTAAGAACACTAGGCATAATCTACTGTTTTCTGTTTCGTTCTGTAGGCTGAGTTTGTCGACTGAAACAATGTGGTGACTCTCCAGTGTCATTTTTATGCTCCGTTTTTGTGTTGTCATCCTTCCTACATCTTTTACTCCATCCCGGTTTCGTTGAGATTTAAAGCCGAATTCATGATGATGCTCCTTTCTCGTTCGATATCTGAACAACACATTCGTCTGCTGCTGGGCTGATTATCTGAAGACCACTTTCTAGTTGTGCTTAGTAGCTCAACAGGACTAAAAGACTAGAAGTACCGCATGTTTGCATGGCCAACGTGGTAGTCTCTTGTAAAAATTCTGAAAGGCAATCGGCGTTGCTTCCACTTGGCCCAGTTATCAAGACATAGCACTCCCTCGGTAGGAGAGAAGTACATTGATCTACTGTAGTGGACGAGACCACACGAGGGGCAACCTAATTGTATTAAACGAAAATTACAGAATTACTCAGTAAAATTCGAAAACCCATATCATAATCGTTCATTTGCCAAATAACAGTTCATCATATCGAACTGGGCTGTTCCTGTTGCAAAACATCAATCCATTGTCACTATTCATGTGTTTCATACAAATTCCATTGTATTTCTAACTCTTCCTTTCTTGATCTTCCCACATCTTCGGCTGCCAGACAATTACGTGACACTCACGTCATATACTACTTATGAGTCTTTCGCACCGCAGCACCACACTACTACAAACATGCCTTTATTTGAACCATTTTAAATTATTTAATGGGTACAAACAGGGGCTGAAATTCCCTTGACCACTGGAAGAAATCGACAAAAACCTATAAAAGGATTTCTAATAAAAATAGTTATGGGGATTATTGAATTTCTGTGGGAATCATGGGGTCGACCAGTGTTAGACCAACAACAACACCTGAAGTCCCTGGAATAGCGTTTAGTCTAGTATAAGTATACACACTTAACCATACATGACCCCTAACACAGTAATCGAACTCTTACTCTCTTACTTGAATCAATCCGAGGAACTGCTCGAAAATCACTATTATATTCGGTTACTGCCACACACCCCACAGGGTTGAACCCTACGGATATGATTTTAGATAATACCCGTTTTTGGAAACTTGAGTACGACTGCAAAAACCATAGTCTTCTCAGACATACCTACTAAACTGTTTCAAACTTCATGATAATTAATAAGGTTGACACGAACCAACAAAAATCCTTCAGCACTATAATTGTGCAAGTTAGAAAAAAAGGATGTGCGAAACGTAGGTAAAAATTTACTATAAAACAGTTTAAACACATTTACTAATAAAATTAGAAATTCCAAAACAAATAAAAAATATCCAAAACTTGAAGACTATACATAGATTGAACTTTCACTAAAATTAATCTTCAGATAATATACAGTAATTTCAAGATAACCAGTCAAACTGTAAAACCATCCAATTCATTTTTTGAGGAATGAGGATGGAAATTTTAGAAGTGATCGTTTTTTAGGTTCAGCAGGGATCCCATACACGATGACTGATTTTCCAACAAGATGTTTAAGTTTGCAAGCAGATGTTGCATTAAAAATTGACTGTCCTAAAGTTCCATTTGCCTTTGTGTTATGGTCATCATCAGATATATCTCTTCCCAGCCAATTCATTAGGAATTTTAAAGTGAATCTATCGACATCTCGGTCAGTAACATCCCATAACAATCCGCAAACAAAAGGACTGTAGAGGAAATAAAAACATAGATTTACTGATGATCAGAATGACAAAATATCATCAATACATGCTACATACACTATTATCGTAATAAAAACAATATTCCACAATAATTGGAACAAACTCGTTGAACTGAAGATAATGAGCTTGAGAAAACTGATCTCCAGTTCTATGAGCAGAGGATACCATAAAGAGATGCTACACTTGAATGCTACTCATCCAGTCAATAAAAATTCAAAGTTTCCATGAGTTAAAAATATAAAATAGCCTGATTAATTATGTATATAATATGGAATAAGATTCACATACCATCCGGCAATAAGATGATTGAAGAGTGAAGTATAAGGCTCATGTCGTCCAACACTACGAGGTTTACCAGAACTGCAGACAAGAACTAAGGCAACTGAGCGTGCGCTGAGACCTTGGTTGAAAGTATGAAGTAGAATTGTGAACCATTACCGTGACCCAAAAATCTGTAAGGATAAAGTGTGCAGATAAATAACTATACGTCTGAGGAGAGGTATACTGAATAAGATAACAATATTAAACTATTATCAAGACGATAATTTGGCTAGGTGACCGAATTTGTCAGTCAAAGAAACCGATCAAAAATATACATCCTTTTCACGAAAAAATAATGTCAGTGACTTCCCAGGTTGGAAGTCACAAAAATTACAAACATTACTAAAAGAATGCTTTTAAACGTACATTAAAAGATCATGATTTGTGAAACCATCATTCACCTCCTTTCTAGTTGGAATCCTTCCAGTAACACCTCTCCAACTAGAAAGGTCGCGGAATAATGGTTCGAACGTTTGCTGAGTAGAGGGAAGGTTGGATTCTGGGTTAAGAACATAAAATGTTGCCTCAGGATTAAAAGAACAAGAAACATCACGTTCAGAATTCAGAGAAATGTTAGCTTCGACATTTCGAGAAGGCATAAACTGAGTGGCCAAGTGGCCAATAACTAAGGGTAAGCTGAAACTACGAGTCATAGTTGGCATATACGAATCTGGATTACGATCCCATAGTATCCATTCCCATGGTAAGTAAACCAATCGCTAAAGAATGAAATGATAAAAAGGAGTGAAAACTATAACATCTGGTCATTAAACAACAAACATTTGATGTGCTTATTATAATAACCCATAACAATTCATTATATACGGAAAGTATTATATGAAAAGTAACAGAGAGTCTAATGTAACTTAAGTTGATGGGAAGTTGTTTAATTTGCTTTTATAAACACGGAAACTAATTTTTGAACTGACACTGACAGCCAAAACTCAAATTATTATTTGTCAACATAAATTTATCAATAGCATGATCCTCATTGCCGTAAACAGCTTTTATTTTTCGTCTTTGTCTGCGCGCAGTGTAAACTTCAGTTCCATAAATGGGAGAATGGACTTTGAACTTTGGAAAACTCAATACCAAGTGAATTTTGGAACCAAAACTTGGAATTTACAGGTTACTTTGAGTTAACAAACATGTTGAGTTCAAGTGTAAATAATAACTGAAGCTTATCTAACAAACGTGATGTATAATTAAGATTCACTCTATAGATACTTGATTGTACAACGGATAATTCTTATAGGCTTGTTGGTGTAAAGATAACAAGTGAAGAGTACAGAGCATACACTCTAGCTGATTAGTGTGGTCACTGTTATATGGATTTTAGTACTTCAAGTTAAATTCATCTTGTGAGCTTCAGAAATGGGCATAATATGCAATCAGAGAAGTTATTCAACAGAAATAGTCTTATCAGGTGTTTGGAGCCAATCAGCTTGATATGCAAAGCAAGTGCGTTTCATCAAGGACTCCTTGCATAATTAAAATGACTGAAACAAGTGAAGATTAAAAAGATGTTTTAAAAGTTCATAGATGCAAACATATAATATTGTTTATTCATACGCAATAATTAGTTACAGCTATTGGTTCATATTCACTGAGAAGCTAAAAAAATCCCCAAAGAGTAAAGCGAATAGAAGTATCCACTTAAAATGTCACTTGTTTTTTCTGTGTTTACGTTAAACAATTAAACCCCAAACATTACACTAAGTAGGAGTTAATGCTATTTTATCCAATTACACAATCAAATATATAATGCTCCATAAAATCAATGCATAGTTGAGTCTACTAGAAAAGCTAGTGTTAAACTTACTCGATCCGGAATAAAAACTATAGAAAATAGGTTATCATTATCTTTGAGTTCATTATTGGGACAAAATTTTCCTCGACAAAATAACCAATCCAGATCATCTTTAGTAAACCATTCACGGCGGATTTCATGAGTAGATTCTACAAAATTATTCCAAAGAATCATATTAAATGAATGCTGAAATAATACTAAAATATTTTTACGAAGCAACAAATTTATTCGGAGTGTGAATATTAAAAACTATGAGGATGAATAAGATTATATATTACCCTACAAGATAAATACGCCTAAATATGTACGACGAAATGTGTATATTCCGCAAAAAAGCGTATTAAACAGCGCTAATTGGAACCAGAACGCTTGAAAAGTGAATCAGTCACACAAATCTCTTGGTTCTGAATACTTTCAACACTGTCTGTAACTTACAACTACCGTAATGCCTAAGTTGAAGGTTATCGTTAGAACTAATAATCTGAAGTAGTTAGAAAAGAGTACTTTAGTATTACGATAGCAATCAAAAAAATAGCAGTTAACAAAATCTACTATGGGAACTAAGTTGCAAAACACGAGAAAACAGAAATTATTTTTTGAGAATAAATATATTAGCCATTTCAGCAAGATCGTTAATGTTGAAAGTATTTATCGGAACGAATATATTGAACTCTGATAACATACTGGAATTCAGTACAGAGTGCTGTGGTCTAAATTCTGCTGTTTTGATTCGTGTTAGTAAATAAAGGAATAAAGCAGCCATGTTAAAAGTTGTTTGTGAGTCAAAATAATTTGTGATTTAAAGTGCGAATGAAAGTGATGAGTTTAGTTTATTCACAGTATAAATAGGAAATGATAAAGGCAGACGAAATTTTAGATTTTATCATTCAAATAGGGTAGAACACACACAAGAGAAAAGGATGTCATTAAGTGAGTACTTAAAAATATGTTAAAATACTAATGCTATTCTTTATACACAAGATATTCGACCTAAACAGCATGAGTATAATTTACCGAAAGTTGAAAAAAAAAAAATTACAGATTAAATTAAAATAACAAACAATCAATGACTAATTGCTCATGATTATCGTAACATTTATAATATCAAGAACTATTTTAGACAAAGATGGATGGTGACTAGCAGCGGAGTCTAGGAAACGCGTTTTGCCTCAGATGAGGCTTACCTGCTAGAAGTACTTGCATCTCAGGATTGACGTTCACTCCAGGAGTTGAACCCAGAACAATTTGCATTAAACGATAGATAGCCATTGGTTTGTGTAACGAGGTGAAGTAGCTAAGGGGATAACGCGACAACGCTTAAAGAGGACGGTACTGTGTTTGATTCTCGCGTTGGAAATTTACTACGGGATGCAGGTACACCAGTCAGTTGCAACCTAGAGCCTAGTACGTACATGAATCAGTTCACGTTGCCATACCATATTAGCACAGAGAGATGAAATATCAGGGCATATCGTAGAGTAGTAGAGGTAGTAACAGTATCAGAGGTAATGGAAAAGATTAGAGAAAAAAAATAAGACTCCATAAAATAAAGAGCGATTTTGAGCCATGTCATTGCAAGTTGCAGGTACACATAGCTGACGAGTCACCATCAGGACGAAATATGCATCCTGGATCCTATTGCTAGACGTAATCCATCTCTACTTATGCCTTAATCGCAATATGGAGGTGATTCGCACAGGATTCACATATATCAAAAGAGGTTAATTAAATGCAACCCCAAAAATTAATCAGAAAATCAAGCTATTTTGATTGCATACTTCGAACATCGCTTTTCTAGTTAGTAGTAGTTTATTACTTTTTAATGAGAAACATATGACTCTTAATGTTATTAGTTTACAAAATGGGCGCATACTTGATAAGCGAAACGGCGAAAATTCGGAGTGGAGAGGTGACTGAATGCTAAAAGCCATTAACGTCCAAATAGAAAATGTAAGCTTAGAACCTCGGTCTCTTGTATTTTAATGGGGAGACGGGTATTAATAATATCCCTCATACAAACAATGCACTTCAAAGTTAAGCAAGTAATACCGTATTCTATGCTTTAACTCAATAAAATAAATAGTAATTTCAGCTATATATGTAATACTGAAATTAAAACGAAAATATACACGAATAATGGGACGGAAATCACGAATTTCACACAAAAAAGAAAGTGTCCATAAGGAAGATAAATGGACATCAATGAAAAAAACGGCCCTTGTATTTGCACATAACACAGGAGAAAGTTCGTTTGAACACACACACACAGAGAATAAACATCATGAAAAATATGCACTACTTCTAGTCGTTCATTCAAGTTATAACGTGTGCGCCAGTAATTAGCCCGATCTTCAATAGCCATCGAATCAAGACTCTCCATTTGAATTTCATCAAATATGTTCATGTATTTAAAACCCTGTAGAAAAGCAATAAACATACAGAATTAAAATAAATTTTATTTAAAATATAGGAAAGACAATATTTTAGGAAATATATGTGGTTTGCTCGAAAGCGACGAGGTTACATCGCATTATCTTCATATCCACTTCTTCTTAATGTTCTTAAAGTGAATAATTATTTTCCGAATGAATATATTTTTACTTTGCTGTCTCGCATTACCTCAAATGGTTTATCCTTGATACTTATAAACACTTCTGACGACTTTTTAAACAATGAAGTATCAGTTTATTTTATTACGGGCATAAGTATGCTAACTAACTAACAGCTTTACATTCACAAAATATTCCACCAAGTTGGAATGATGACATTATTAACTGACGAATATTATGAAAAACAAAGTGATTTTCGTACTAACGGGAAGGAAAGGTTAACACACGGACAGTTCGGTACTATTGATCAACATAATCATACTGTAATATTGGATATACAAAACGGAAAACAAATCTAGAAACTAAAGAAGTTATATTAGCAGAAGTAGATAGTGGTTAGTTTTTCGTCCTGTTGGAGAGTTAGAAAATACTACAGTAACAAATAATAATAATTTTGCATACAATCAGCAAGGTCAACTGGAAAACATGTAGATATTATTATTAAACAAAAATTAATAAATCATATCTAATGAATATTAGGATGTCTAATAATAATGGCTAATAATTAATAATAGCTGTCACCTTAGTCATAAAAATATTGTAGAAAGCAGTTACACTAAAATTCAAACTTTTTTCACTAAACTTACGGAATGCGTGAATCCATGCATAACGCGTGTCTCCACTCCAAATGATTTTAAAGCTTGACCAGAAACACCTGTATAACGTGATACCAATAGGTAACCTCCAGAACGAGCACCGAGTCCATATGGTGAAACATTGTGATGGCAAATATCGACGCTTTCATTATATAATTTAGAAGACTTGCAGCTGAGTTCATCAACAAGACAGAGTTGAATAACCTGAACCGTGAATAAACTGCCATTATCAGAAGAAAGACATTTTCCACAGGTAGGAGTCTGGATTACATTCTCCAACAGAGAATGATTAGGAGCACAAGCAGCCATTACTTGACTAAAAATAGGGAACCAGTTGCAATTTTTTTTGCGATCGGAAACAGGACCTCGGGAATCAGATGACTTCAAATGGCTGATTAAAAATGATAGACAATGATCAAGTGACTAGAAGACAAGACTCTAGTTAGCCGCGAACAAACAATATACGAGATTATATTCAGGGAATAAAATAAGTTTATTAGGATAAAGTTATATGAAACAGATGTAATTTGAAGAACATAAATAATTTTCATAGTCTGCGGACAGGGATAAAAAACACAACTAAATAAATCTAGCACACAAAGCAGGTAGCTATATAAACAATGGTGTGAGCATTATACTTTTAAATTCAGAAGGATGAAATCAATGTTAACAATATTATATATATATATATATATATATATATATATATATATATACATAATTAATCTGACTCTACTGCTAAACAAAAACAGTCGAAATATTTTTTCCTACTTAGGGATGATGAAAATATGAAAAAAGTACTGAGAAAACATGAAACCTACTAAGCAACTAGTTTGTCAAAATTAATTTGACAAGAGTTCATAAGAAGTTCAAATATATTAATATACACCTAAATCGATTAGGAGCTTATAAGGAGAATCGTGACATCCACGATATAGCAGATAAAACCATCAAGATGCATCAGTCCAAGGTTTCACCTTAGTTTCCTCGGACAACCACAGACTTTAATGTTATCCTTACAATAAGAAATTGGAAACGTATGAATAACTGAAGCTCAATTTATGCAAACGCTCCAACAAACAATTTTCATTATCTTTAATGAATACGATAAACATTGAAATTATAATAAAAACTAATGCATTAGTTAGTAACTATGACCTAAATTCGTGGTTCTGAGTTTTATAAGGTGCATGTCATCGTTACTCAAGTCGATATTTCAAGCAGAACTCGTGTAAAATAATGGAAGTACTTGTAAAAAATATCCTTATAAGATATTGAAATCATTCACCAATGGCAATCGGAAATGCAAACAAATACCAACGATAATATATTGGATACCAAAGAAATTTCTGGGATCAGTAGTGAGTTTCAGTTGGTACTAATCAATACATAAATATAGGCTTCGGTTTAACTGTTTTACAACTCGAGTGAACTGACTCGTGTATAAAAAGTGTATCAACATGAGCTCTCGGATACCGTCCATCACAGCACGTTTGACCGCGTCATATATTTGAATTTCTCCCGGTTGATAATGACCTGAGTAACCATAGAGTATTAATACATCTCACTCGAAATGTGTAACTTTAAGTTGAGAATAAGAACCTTTAGATATTTAGTGAGTTTGATTAACTACGATGAAAACTGTAAGATAATTTTGACCAAAAGTAGTACAGAATGTATTAATCAACAATATAACTTTTCTAATTACATGTGTACTTGAGTGAGGTGAAGTGATGAAATTCATGATAAAAGCTTACATGATTCGAGAACTTAAGATAGACAAGTACAAGGTTGTGGGTCCAATACCGATAGCTTGAGATAAAAATCTTCCCGCTTGTAATTGATCACCTTTTCCTAACCAATAAATACCCAACCATTGGCATATGGGACGTAAAAGATTTGGAACTGGGAAGCTAGACAGTTGCTGATAAGCACTATACAAACGTGTAGCCATATTATTAGTTATCTGATTCATTTGATCTGTATTCTCCGACAACAGAGCATCTTCACACAGCGTATTGCCCAAAGTTGTCTTGATTTGACTGGCCGCCCACTTGGATGCTAACCTGACGCTACGTGGACGCAACGGGGCATCAATTAAGGAAGAACACGATTCCACTGGGTCCAGAACTACGGTATGGCTTTTGTTAGAACTTGTTTTTTCTTTTTTCTCCAAAACACTCTGCATTTAACCAATGAAAAGTTTAACAGTGAATGAACGACATGACGCGCAAACATTCAGGTATCACTTAGTCTAAACGGCTGTTATATACAATGATCTTTCACATTACCTATTCAGAAATTAATAAAAACAGCTAACCATTTATGCATCAATTAAATGTAAATAAAAGACATTCATGTTTGAACGACTAAAATAGATGACTAAATTATATCAGAGACCTTGTAACTGAACCGCAATTACAAGCGAGAATTTGTATGATTTAGTTGAATTACTGATTATTTCTTCTGTATTGTGTATATAGTACTAATGATATGATAATAGTGATAAATCAGCCAAGAGTAAAACATTACAACTACTGCTTCAAGATTTAGTTCTTCCAAGCACAATACAAGAATACAGATATTTAGGGAGATAGAAATGGTCAGACACTGTCTAAAAGATAAGAACGTGGTTTTTCATCTCCATTCTGTAATAACAGGAGGTGAAGATAAAACCTGGGCAATAATCACAATAATATGTACTAAGGTAACAACACTGACGTCACAAGAAATATCTTTGTAGACCTGTTACGAAAATATGTGAACACGGTGAGAAGAGTCAGTCAGTGGCTAAAATACTGATGCTTTAAAAACGGATTAACAGACATGTTTTATTATGACAGTACATTTCTGATTTACTTTAATATATCGGCTAATAATGGATAATATTGAACGATTAGACAAATACTGAATCAGAATAGGAAGATTTATGGGAATTACAGAATTTTTAGTTTCAAATCACAGAATGATTTTAGTTAGACTATCATGAAAAATCTTTAAGCACTAGACAACCGTTTCGTCCTAGCATGGGACACTAGAAGTGCACATTCCCGACCTTTCATATATGAGCGAAACCATTACCTTCAGTATCAAATTTAGTGGCAAATAAGTAATCTCAGCTAACACCAAGCCAAAAAATAAAACAAAACAGCCTATACAAAGTTTAGGGTGGATAAAAGTCAGAAACGTTAACGTATAGTGAACATATCACTCTGACAATGCACAACAAAAATCATCAAAATATAAAAAACATTAGCTAACTTTACAAAAAAAGAAATTAGATGTCAGAATGAGATTAAATTAAAAGTCTCCTTTATCTTACCAGAGAAAAGTATTTTAAATAAGTTTTAAATAAAGTCAACTCACTTTATTTTTGGAGAAATTATCACAATATATTTCCAGAGGTTGAGGATGAGCTGGTTTACGAGAGGTATAACCAAGCAATGGTAGCAAAATTTCATCGTCTACTTCATGACTATCCAAGACGATATTTTTATTCGTCAGAGGATTATCACGGTGTCCAGTTTGTATTGTGGATTTCGCAGGTACTTCATTACTTTTAGTGGTTTGAACAACATTTTGATAATCTATGGTAAAAGATATTACCTATTCCGTAAACACTGAATCTGCAAGTATTTGAGCAATATATATATATGTATATATTGCTCAAATACTTGCAGATTCAGTGTTTACGGAATAGGTAATATCTTTTACCATAGATTATCAAAATGTTGTTCAAACCACTAAAAGTAATGAAGTACCTGCGAAATCCACAATACAAACTGGACACCGTGATAATCCTCTGACGAATAAAAATATCGTCTTGGATAGTCATGAAGTAGACGATGAAATTTTGATACCATTGCTTGGTTATACCTCTCGTAAACCAGCTCATCCTCAACCTCTGGAAATATATTGTGATAATTTCTCCAAAAATAAAGTGAGTTGACTTTATTTAAAACTTATTTAAAATACTTTTCTCTGGTAAGATAAAGGAGACTTTTAATTTAATCTCATTCTGACATCTAATTTCTTTTTTTGTAAAGTTAGCTAATGTTTTTTATATTTTGATGATTTTTGTTGTGCATTGTCAGAGTGATATGTTCACTATACGTTAACGCTTCTGACTTTTATCCACCCTAAAACTTGTATAGGCTGTTTTGTTTTATTTTTTGGCTTGGTGTTAGCTGAGATTACTTATTTGCCACTAAATTTGATACTGAAGGTAATGGTTTCGCTCATATATGAAAGGTCGGGAATGTGCACTTCTAGTGTCCCATGCTAGGACGAAACGGTTGTCTAGTGCTTAAAGATTTTTCATGATAGTCTAACTAAAATCATTCTGTGATTTGAAACTAAAAATTCTGTAATTCCCATAAATCTTCCTATTCTGATTCAGTATTTGTCTAATCGTTCAATGTTATCCATTAATAGCCGATATATTAAAGTAAATCAGAAATGTACTGTCATAATAAAACATGTCTGTTAATCCGTTTTTAAAGCATCAGTATTTTAGCCACTGACTGACTCTTCTCACCGTGTTCACATATTTTCGTAACAGGTCTACAAAGATATTTCTTGTGACGTCAGTGTTGTTACCTTAGTACATATTATTGTGATTATTGTCCAGGTTTTATCTTCACCTCCTGTTATTACAGAATGGAGAAGGAAAACCACGTTCTTATCTTTTAGACAGTGTCTGACCATTTCTATCTCCCTAAATATCTGTATTCTTGTATTGTGCTTGGAAGAACTAAATTCTGAAGCAGTAGTTGTAAGGTATTACTCTTGGCTGATTTATCACTATTATCATATCATTAGTACTATATACACAATACAGAAGAAATAATCAGTACTTCAACTAAATCATACAAATTCTCGCTTGTAATTGCGGTTCAGTTACAAGGTCTCTGATATAATTTAGTCATCTATTTTCGTCGTTCTATCATGATTGTCTTTTATTTACATTTAATTGATGCATAAATGGTTAGCTGTTTTTATTAATTTCTGAATATGTAATTTGAAATATCATTGTTTATAACAGCAGTTTAGACTAAGTGATACTTGAATGTTTGCGCGTCATGTCGTTCATTCACTGTTAAACTTTTCATTGGTTAAATGCAGAGTGTTTTGGAGAAAAAAGAAAAAACAAGTTCTAACAAAAGCCATACCGTAGTTCTGGACCCAGTGGAATCGTGTTCTTCCTTAATTGATGCCCCGTTGCGTCCACGTAGCGTCAGGTTAGCATCCAAGTGGGCGGCCAGTCAAATCAAGACAACTTTGGGCAATACGCTGTGTGAAGATGCTCTGTTGTCGGAGAATACAGATCAAATGAATCAGATAACTAATAATATGGCTACACGTTTGTATAGTGCTTATCAGCAACTGTCTAGCTTCCCAGTTCCAAATCTTTTACGTCCCATATGCCAATGGTTGGGTATTTATTGGTTAGGAAAAGGTGATCAATTACAAGCGGGAAGATTTTTATCTCAAGCTATCGGTATTGGACCCACAACCTTGTACTTGTCTATCTTAAGTTCTCGAATCATGTAAGCTTTTATCATGAATTTCATCACTTCACCTCACTCAAGTACACATGTAATTAGAAAAGTTATATTGTTGATTAATACATTCTGTACTGCTTTTGGTCAAAATTATCTTACAGTTTTCATCGTAGTTAATCAAACTCACTAAATATCTAAAGGTTCTTATTCTCAACTTAAAGTTACACATTTCGAGTGAGATGTATTAATACTCTATGGTTACTCAGGTCATTATCAACCGGGAGAAATTCAAATATATGACGCGGTCAAACCTGCTGTGATGGACGGTATCCGAGAGCTCATGTTGATACACTTTTTATACACGAGTCAGTTCACTCGAGTTGTAAAACAGTTAAACTGAAGCCTATATTTATGTATTGATTAGTACCAACTGAAACTCACTACTGATCCCAGAAATTTCTTTGGTATCCAATATATTATCGTTGGTATTTGTTTGCATTTCCGATTGCCATTGGTGAATGATTTCAATATCTTATAAGGATATTTTTTACAAGTACTTCCATTATTTTACACGAGTTCTGCTTGAAATATCGACTTGAGTAACGATGACATGCACCTTATAAAACTCAGAACCACGAATTTAGGTCATAGTTACTAACTAATGCATTAGTTTTTATTATAATTTCAATGTTTATCGTATTCATTAAAGATAATGAAAATTGTTTGTTGGAGCGTTTGCATAAATTGAGCTTCAGTTATCCATACGTTTCCAATTTCTTATTGTAAGGATAACATTAAAGTCTGTGGTTGTCCGAGGAAACTAAGGTGAAACCTTGGACTGATGCATCTTGATGGTTTTATCTGCTATATCGTGGATGTCACGATTCTCCTTATAAGCCCCTAATCGATTTAGGTGTATATTAATATATTTGAACTTCTTATGAACTCTTGTCAAATTAATTTTGACAAACTAGTTGCTTAGTAGGTTTCATGTTTTCTCAGTACTTTTTTCATATTTTCATCATCCCTAAGTAGGAAAAAATATTTCGACTGTTTTTGTTTAGCAGTAGAGTCAGATTAATTATATATATATATATATATATATATATATATATATATAATATTGTTTACATTGATTTCATCCCTCTGAATTTAAAAGTATAATGCTCACACCATTGTTTATATAGCTACCTGCTTTGTGTGCTAGATTTATTTAGTTGTGTTTTTTATCCCTGTCCGCAGACTATGAAAATTATTTATGTTCTTCAAATTACATCTGTTTCATATAACTTTATCATAATAAACTTATTTTATTCCCTGAATATAATCTCGTATATTGTTTGTTCGCGGCTAACTAGAGTCTTGTCTTCTAGTCACTTGATCATTTCTATCATTTTTAATCAGCCATTTGAAGTCATCTGATTCCCGAGGTCCTGTTTCCGATCGCAAAAAAAATTGCAACTGGTTCCCTATTTTTAGTCAAGTAATGGCTGCTTGTGCTCCTAATCATTCTCTGTTGGAGAATGTAATCCAGACTCCTACCTGTGGAAAATGTCTTCCTTCTGATAATGGCAGTTTATTCACGGTTCAGGTTATTCAACTCTGTCTTGTTGATGAACTCAGCTGCAAGTCTTCTAAATTATATAATGAAAGCGTCGATATTTGCCATCACAATGTTTCACCATATGGACTCGGTGCTCGTTCTGGAGGTTACCTATTGGTATCACGTTATACAGGTGTTTCTGGTCAAGCTTTAAAATCATTTGGAGTGGAGACACGCGTTATGCATGGATTCACGCATTCCGTAAGTTTAGTGAAAAAAAGTTTGAATTTTAGTGTAACTGCTTTCTACAATATTTTTATGACTAAGGTGACAGCTATTATTAATTATTAGCCATTATTATTAGACATCCTAATATTCATTAGATATGATTTATTAATTTTTGTTTAATAATAATATCTACATGTTTTCCAGTTGACCTTGCTGATTGTATGCAAAATTATTATTATTTGTTACTGGAGTATTTTCTAACTCTCCAACAGGACGAAAAACTAACCACTATCCACTTCTGCTAATATAACTTCTTTAGTTTCTAGATTTGTTTTCCGTTTTGTATATCCAATATTACAGTATGATTATGTTGATCAATAGTACCGAACTGTCCGTGTGTTAACCTTTCCTTCCCGTTAGTACGAAAATCACTTTGTTTTTCATAATATTCGTCAGTTAATAATGTCATCATTCCAACTTGGTGGAATATTTTGTGAATGTAAAGCTGTTAGTTAGTTAGCATACTTATGCCCGTAATAAAATAAATTGATACTTCATTGTTTAAAAAGTCGTCAGAAGTGTTTATAAGTATCAAGGATAAACCATTTGAGGTAATGCGAGACAGCAAAGTAAAAATATATTCATTCGGAAAATAATTATTCACTTTAAGAACATTAAGAAGAAGTGGATATGAAGATAATGCGATGTAACCTCGTCGCTTTCGAGCAAACCACATATATTTCCTAAAATATTGTCTTTCCTATATTTTAAATAAAATTTATTTTAATTCTGTATGTTTATTGCTTTTCTACAGGGTTTTAAATACATGAACACATTTGATGAAATTCAAATGGAGAGTCTTGATTCGATGGCTATTGAAGATCGGGCTAATTACTGGCGCACACGTTATAACTTGAATGAACGACTAGAAGTAGTGCATATTTTTCATGATGTTTATTCTCTCTGTGTGTGTGTGTGTGTTCAAACGAACTTTCTCCTGTGTTATGTGCAAATACAAGGGCCGTTTTTTTCATTGATGTCCATTTATCTTCCTTATGGACACTTTCTTTTTTGTGTGAAATTCGTGATTTCCGTCCCATTATTCGTCTATATTTTCGTTTTAATTTCAGTATTACATATATAGCTGAAGTTACTATTTATTTAATTGAGTTAAAGCATAGAATACGGTATTACTTGCTTAACTTTGAAGTGCATTGTTTGTATGAGGGATATTATTAATACCCGTCTCCCCATTAAAATACAAGAGACCGAGGTTCTAAGCTTACATTTTCTATTTGGACGTTAATGGCTTTTAGCATTCAGTCACCTCTCCACTCCGAATTTTCGCCGTTTCGCTTATCAAGTATGCGCCCATTTTGTAAACTAATAACATTAAGAGTCATATGTTTCTCATTAAAAAGTAATAAACTACTACTAACTAGAAAAGCGATGTTCGAAGTATGCAATCAAAATAGCTTGATTTTCTGATTAATTTTTGGGGTTGCATTTAATTAACCTCTTTTGATATATGTGAATCCTGTGCGAATCACCTCCATATTGCGATTAAGGCATACGTAGAGATGGATTACGTCTAGCAATAGGATCCAGGATGCATATTTCGTCCTGATGGTGACTCGTCAGCTATGTGTACCTGCAACTTTCAATGACATGGCTCAAAATCGCTCTTTATTTTATGGAGTCTTATTTCCGATCTCTAATCTTTTCCATTACCACTGATACTGTTACTACCTCTACTACTCTACGATATGACCTGATATTTCATCTCTCTGTGCTAATATGGTATGGCAACGTGAACTGATTCATGTACGTACTAGGCTCTAGGTTGCAACTGACTGGTGTACCTGCATCCCGTAGTAAATTTCCAACGCGAGAATCAAACACAGTACCGTCCTCTTTAAGCGTTGTCGCGTTATCCACTTAGCTACTTCACCTCGTTACACAAACCAATGGCTATCTATCGTTTAATGCAAATTGTTCTGGGTTCAACTCCTGGAGTGAACGTCAATCCTGAGATGCAAGTACTTCTAGCAGGTAAGCCTCATCTGAGGCAAAACGCGTTTCCTAGACTCCGCTGCTAGTCACCATCCATCTTTGTCTAAAATAGTTCTTGATATTATAAATGTTACGATAATCATGAGCAATTAGTCATTGATTGTTTTGTTATTTTAATTTAATCTGTAATTATTCATTTATCAACTTTCGGTAAATTATACTCATGCTGTTTAGGTCGAATATCTTGTGTATAAAGAATAGCATTAGTATTTTAACATATTTTTAAGTACTCACTTAATGACATCCTTTTCTCTTGTGTGTGTTCTACCCTATTTGAATGATAAAATCTAAAATTTCGTCTGCCTTTATCATTCCTATTTATACTGTGAATAAACTAAACTCATCACTTTTCATTCGCACTTTAAATCACAAATTATTTTGACTCACAAACAACTTTTAACATGGCTGCTTTATTCCTTTATTTACTAACACTAATCAAAACAGCAGAATTTAGACCACAGCACTCTGTACTGAATTCCAGTATGTTATCAGAGTTCAATATATTCGTTCCGATAAATACTTTCAACATTAACGATCTTGCTGAAATGGCTAATATATTTATTCTCAAAAAATAATTTCTGTTTTCTCGTGTTTTGCAACTTAGTTCCCATAGTAGATCTTGTTAACTGCTATTCTAAGGATTGCTATCGTAATACTAAAGTACTCTTTTCTAACTACTTCAGATTATTAGTTCTAACGATAACCTTCAACTTAGGCATTACGGTAGTTGTAAGTTACAGACAGTGTTGAAAGTATTCAGAACCAAGAGATTTGTGTGACTGATTCACTTTTCAAGCGTTCTGGTTCCAAATAGCGCTGTTTAATACGCTTTTTTGCGGAATATACACATTTCGTCGTACATATTTAGGCGTATTTATCTTGTAGGGTAATATATAATCTTATTCATCCTCATAGTTTTTAATATTCACACTCCGAATAAATTTGTTGCTTCGTAAAAATATTTTAGTATTATTTCAGCATTCATTTAATATGATTCTTTGGAATAATTTTGTAGAATCTACTCATTGAAATCCGCCGTGAATGGTTTACTAAAGATGATCTGGATTGGTTATTTTGTCGAGGAAAATATTGTCCCAATAATGAACTCAAAGATAATGATAACCTATCTTCTATAGTCATTATTCCGGATCGAGTAAGTTTAACACTAGCTTTTCTAGTAGACTCAACTATGCATTGATTTTATGGAGCATTATATATTTGATTGTGTAATTGGATAAAATAGCATTAACTCCTACTTAGTGTAATGTTTGGGGTTTATTTGTTTAACGTAAACACAGAAAAAACAAGTGACATTTTTAAGTGGATACTTCTATTCGCTTTACTCTTTGGGGATTTTTTTAGCTTCTCAGTGAATATGAACCAATAGCTGTAACTAATTATTGCGTATGAATAAACAATATTATATGTTTGCATCTATGAACTTTCTAAACATCTTTTTAATCTTCACTTGTTTCAGTCATTTTAATTATGCAAGGAGTCCTTGATGAAACGCACTTGCTTTGCATATCAAGCTGATTGGCTCCAAACACCTGATAAGACTATTTCTGTTGAATAACTTCTCTGATTGCATATTATGCCCATTTCTGAAGCTCACAAGATGAATTTAACTTGAAGTACTAAAATCCATATAACAGTGACCACACTAATCAGCTAGAGTGTATGCTCTGTACTCTTCACTTGTTATCCTTACACCAACAAGCCTATAAGAATTATCCGTTGTACAATCAAGTATCTATAGAGTGAATCTTAATTATACATCACGTTTGTTAGATAAGCTTCAGTTATTATTTACACTTGAACTCAACATGTTTGTTAACTCAAAGTAACCTGTAAATTCCAAGTTTTGGTTCCAAAATTCACTTGGTATTGAGTTTTCCAAAGTTCAAAGTCCATTCTCCCATTTATGGAACTGAAGTTTACACTGCGCGCAGACAAAGACGAAAAATAAAAGCTGTTTACGGCAATGAGGATCATGCTATTGATAAAATAATGTTGACAAATAATAATTTGAGTTTTGGCTGTCAGTGTCAGTTCAAAAATTTAGTTCCGTGTTTATAAAAGCAAATTAAACAACTTCCCATCAACTTAAGTTACATTAGACTCTCTGTTACTTTTCAGATAATACTTTCCGTATAATATGAATTGTTATGGGTTATTATAAATAGCACATCAAATGTTTGTTGTTTAATGACCAGATGTTATAGTTTTCACTCCTTTTTATCATTTCATTCTTTAGCGATTGGTTTACTTACCATGGGAATGGATACTATGGGATCGTAATCCAGATTCGTATATGCCAACTATGACTCGTAGTTTCAGCTTACCCTTAGTTATTGGCCACTTGGCCACTCAGTTTATGCCTTCTCGAAATGTCGAAGCTAACATTTCTCTGAATTCTGAACGTGATGTTTCTTGTTCTTTTAATCCTGAGCATACATTTTATGTTCTTAACCCAGAATCCAACCTTCCCTCTACTCAGCAAACGTTCGAACCATTATTCCGCGACCTTTCTAGTTGGAGAGGTGTTACTGGAAGGATTCCAACTATAAAGGAGGTGAATGATGGTTTCACAAATCATGATCTTTTAATGTACGTTTAAAAGCATCTTTTTCAGTGTTCTTTTAGTAATGTTTGTAATTTTTGTGACTTCCAACCTGGGAAGTCACTGACATTATTTTTTCGTGAAAAGGATGTATATTTTTGATCGGTTTCTTTGACTGACAAATTCGGTCACCTGGCCAAATTATCGTCTTGATAATAGTTTAATATTGTTGTCTTATTCAGTATACCTCTCCTCAGACGTATAGTTATTTATCTGCACACTTTATCCTTACAGATTTTTGGGTCACGGTAATGGTTCACAATTCCTACTTCATACTTTCAACCAAGGTCTCAGCGCACGCTCAGTTGCCTTAGTTCTTGGCTGCAGTTCTGGTAAACCTCGTAGTGTTGGACGACATGAGCCTTATACTTCACTCTTCAATCATCTTATTGCCGGATGGTATGTGAATCTTATTCCATATTATATACATAATTAATCAGGCTATTTTATATTTTTAACTCATGGAAACTTTGAATTTTTATTGACTGGATGAGTAGCATTCAAGTGTAGCATCTCTTTATGGTATCCTCTGCTCATAGAACTGGAGATCAGTTTTCTCAAGCTCATTATCTTCAGTTCAACGAGTTTGTTCCAATTATTGTGGAATATTGTTTTTATTACGATAATAGTGTATGTAGCATGTATTGATGATATTTTGTCATTCTTATCATCAGTAAATCTATGTTTTTATTTCCTCTACAGTCCTTTTGTTTGCGGATTGTTATGGGATGTTACTGACCGAGATGTCGATAGATTCACTTTAAAATTCCTAATGCATTGGCTGGGAAGAGATATATCTGATGATGACCATAACACAAAGGCAAATGGAACTTTAGGACAGTCAATTTTTAATGCAACATCTGCTTGCAAACTTAAACATCTTGTTGGAAAATCAGTCATCGTGTATGGGATCCCTGCTGAACCTAAAAAACGATCACTTCTAAAATTTCCATCCTCATTCCTCAAAAAATGAATTGGATGGTTTTACAGTTTGACTGGTTATCTTGAAATTACTGTATATTATCTGAAGATTAATTTTAGTGAAAGTTCAATCTATGTATAGTCTTCAAGTTTTGGATATTTTTTATTTGTTTTGGAATTTCTAATTTTATTAGTAAATGTGTTTAAACTGTTTTATAGTAAATTTTTACCTACGTTTCGCACATCCTTTTTTTCTAACTTGCACAATTATAGTGCTGAAGGATTTTTGTTGGTTCGTGTCAACCTTATTAATTATCATGAAGTTTGAAACAGTTTAGTAGGTATGTCTGAGAAGACTATGGTTTTTGCAGTCGTACTCAAGTTTCCAAAAACGGGTATTATCTAAAATCATATCCGTAGGGTTCAACCCTGTGGGGTGTGTGGCAGTAACCGAATATAATAGTGATTTTCGAGCAGTTCCTCGGATTGATTCAAGTAAGAGAGTAAGAGTTCGATTACTGTGTTAGGGGTCATGTATGGTTAGTGTGTATACTTATACTAGACTAAACGCTATTCCAGGGACTTCAGGTGTTGATTGTTGGTCTAACACTGGTCGACCCATGATCCCACAGAAATTCAATAATCCCCATAACTATTTTTATTAGAAATCCTTTTATAGGTTTTTCTCGATTTTTCAGTGGTCAAGGGAATTTCAGCCCCTGTTTGTACCCATTAAATAATTTAAATGGTTCAAATAAAGCATGTTTGTAGTAGTGTGGTGCTGCGGTGCGAACGACTCATAAGTAGTATATGACGTGAGTGTCAACGTAATGTCTGGCAGCCGAAGATGTGGGAAGATCAAGAAAGGAAGAGTTAGAAAACAATGGAATTTGTATGAAACACATGAATAGTGACAATGGATTGATGTTTTGCAACAGGAACAGCCCAGTTCGATATGATGAACTGTTATTTTGCAAATGAACGATTTATGATATGGTTTTCGAATTTTACTGAGTAATTCTGTAATTTTCGTTTAATACAATTAGGTTGCCCCACCTGTGTTCTCGTCCACTACAGTAGATCAATGTACTTCTTTCCTACCAAGGGAGGGATATAGCTTGATAACTGGGCCAAGTGGAAGCAACGCCGATTGCCTTTCAGAATTTTTACAAGAGACACTACCACGTTGGCCATGCAAAACATGCGGTTACTTCTAGTCTTTTAGTCTGTTGAGCTACTAAGCACAACTAGAAAGTTGTCTTCAGATAATCAGCCAGCAGCAGACGAATGGTTGTCAGATATCGAACGAGAAAGGAGCATCATCATGAATTCGGCTTTAAATCTCAACGAAACCGGATGGAGTAAAAGATGTAGGAAGGATGACAACACAAAAACGGAGCATAAAAATGACACTGGAGAGTCACCACATTGTTTCAGTCGACAAACTCAGCTACAGAACGAAACAGAAAACAGTAATTATGCCTGTGTTCTTAAAGATTTGGCTAAAAAACAAATAAAGTCGGTCATCAGCACCTGGAAAATTAAGAATAAACCACATATCTGCAGGTCTGTTATCGCATTATACTGGAATAATCAGAAGAATATAAAAAAGTCTGAAGGCCTGTTAAAAATGATCTGAGATAGGTCAGTTACTTTAGACAAGTTGAGATAGTCCTTCGAATAAGAACAAAAGGCTAGGTTTTAGCATGACTTAATATAATTTAGATCCGTGATAAGCAGATTATTCCCAGGAACAAGTGTTAGTATAAGTAAGCCTTACAAAATAGGATAAAGAGAATTCCCAAAGTATTCAAACCAGCCTCCTCTTAACAGTTAATTTTGCTCGCCATGAGGAAAGAAATATAATACTGGGAAATGCGCTGAAACTGACTGGATCGGGTATGTGTGCCTGTTCTGATCTCTGCTTGGTTGACATTATTGAAAGTCGAAATGCAGAACTAAATGGGCTTTTTCAGGATGTTAAATAAACCTTATGACTAAAGGTTTTCATACTGTAAATGTCTAGAGAGAAATAATCCCTGAACCGCTCTGGTCGATACTAGAAATATTTCCACAGAATTAAAGTTACACTCGTAACCTGTTAATGAGATGCTGGAGACCAAACCGTTTTTAGTCACAGAAAACTCTGATATTAGTGCCATTTCAAAAACAGCCATTATCGGTAGTATATGATACCGAAAGTTAAATGCTTGATTACTTACTTGGCACTTCCGACAGTCTTAATCGAAGGATCGATGGGCTCATCCTATAATTAGAAGGCACCTTAACAGTACACACAACTGAAGGACATGTGAATTCGTGAGCTTCCAGCTGAAACGCAAAGGGCAAGACGTTGAAACGGTTGTAGTATATTACAATCCAGAATGTAGAGGAGGTAACATTCTCGTGAACAAATTTAGGCCCTGGTCATTAGGCGTGTCGTCAGATTCGAACTACAAAACTCATCTTTCTTGGACTTAGTTTAACCTCATTCTGAAGCTGTTGGAACATCGGTTCATTCAAAATAATTATTTAGATACATTGGAGGCGTCTCAACATTAGGAAGCACATATCGAATGACAGATAAAGAGGAGAACAAAGAAGAAGCTATGACTATGTAGTGATTTACTTTTACGGAGAAAACACAACTGCTGAAATATAAACATTTATTATTGTACTTCATCCTGACAATAATTGTTAAACTGTACACCTCCAGTTTATCTGCACTAAAGACTCGCGCCAAGCGTGTTAATCCCTTTCTCCTCTTCGCACATCTCCTGAGTGGACGTTAGCTTTCTGCACGCCCTCTTGCCTCTATATCACGAGGCCAGTATCAAATATACTTCTTCCGCTAGAATCTGTTTCTTTCTTGATTCTTTGAGTCCGTGAGTAACATTTTTCTCCCGCGAAGAAGTATATCGTATGAAACGCTATAACTATATCGAGTTAGCTTTTACTAAGTAGCTTCATTTGGATAAAGAACTAGATCAGAACGCGATACCACTAAATCTGCTGCTCACCGTGAATTTTGGTCAGCCAGACACACTAAAGGCCTCGGGCACTTAAGACATGAAAGAATCTACTGAACTGGATGAACTGGAAATAAAGATCCTAAGATTAACTGCAAAACACATCTCTGCCTTAATGATCTTGATATGTCAGTAAATGAGTAAGATTTAAATAAAGACTGAAAGATGCAATAATCACTCCAATTAATAAGGCTAAATTGGGGTGAATTCCATGGGACTGTAGTGGTATAAAGTAGTGAACAAAAGGATATAACAAATAATTATTATGCGCCACGAACCTGCCTATAACAGGTAAGTGAAATAGGGATGAATACCGTACGGGGATTTGTGCCGCGTTTTGGTTTTGCCACACCTAGCTTTCTTCCAACCTAAACCTACAACACTAAACATAGCTCGACGAGACAGTCCATGGTTTGGCATACGCAACACATGTCCTACCCACCTCAACTGATGAAGTTTCATTACTTCATCTGTTGATCTGCCATCCTTAAATAGAACTCGTTTCCTAACGACAACATTGCATACTCGGTTGTCCCAGGATATACGAGCAATGCTTCGAAGTCACCTACGATCGAATACTAATAACCTACGAATGTCCTCTACTCTTACCGGCCATGTTCCGCATCCATATAGTAGGATGGAGCGAACTGCTGCGCAGTACACTCGTCCTTTGGTTAGCGAACGGATATCTCGCTTACGCTGTAGGTGACACAAGATGGCAAAAGCCAATCGAGCCTTCTGTATCCGTGTTGAGATTTCGTCAGTCACCAGGCCATCGGCACTGATGAGACTCCCGAGATAAGTGGAACGGTCGACACACCCAACTACTTCACTCCCTATCACTAGTTCAAGTGAGATCGCAAGCCAATGCTGAAGCAATATTTTGCATTTCGAGGGAGAAATGGGCACACCGAACATTCTTGCATTGTTGCTTAGAGTAGTGAGAAGACTGCATTTTATTGGCGTGTTCACCGAATAGCACTATATCATCGGTATATTCTAAGTCAGCAAGCGTGTCTCCTGGTAGAAGGTGCACTCCTGAAGAGTCAGATGATGATAATGTTAACTCTGAAAGGATGTCTACGACAAAGTTAAACATGAATGGAGAGAGTGGACATTTCTGACGGACACCACTTGAAGTAGAGTATTCCAAGGACAGTTCGACATAGGCTCTCACTTGTACATGAGGAGGAGGTCTGTGATTTGTCTAGCTTCTGGTCAGATGTAAATTTAGGGATCCCGCTAGTAGGTTTGATGAGTCTTGTACTAGCTCTCGGATTAGCAAGTAGGGCTCTATCATCGACCTTTGCCGATTTAAGACTATCAACGCTGACGGTCTCGATGCGGCCATGTCTTGCATCTTTGGAGGTCCGATTATGACGAGAAATCACTTGAAATGGTCCTTTAAAAGTTTTTTTTCGAGGGTTTGAGTAACGAATCTACAGGTATGAAAACATGCGAACTGGTAGATACCTTTCGAGGGAGAGCGACCTGTCAATGTTGTACTTCGGTTGACAGTGGTTGCACGTAAACTGTCGCACTCACGCTCCGCGAAAGCTAATTTTTCCAGTGCCAGTCGGCGAGGTTTCGCCGTGACTGGCGGTCTGTAGATGACGATGTGGCTTGTCACATTACCACTCATCGGTTGAATCTCCTCGGTTTAATTACTTTTTGTAATTCATTAAATATAACGTGAAATAAGTACTGCAAAAAAATACATTAAAGATTCGGTCCATATCTTTTGGAGCTTTGAAACCCATAGATTTGATATTCGACAATGTATCCACCAACTGCAGCCTACATGAATCAAATAGCAATTCATAGTGCTGTAGGGAATCGAAACGGAGCACGGCTAACGGAACATCAGCAAGAATGAACGTCCATAGATACTGTCATCGATTATTCGGGTTGACCGTTAGCTGTCGTGTACCGTCGGTAGGGATGACAGAGCCATTTACAGCGCATGGTCGGAACATCGGGGCTTGAGACTTGCTGCTAACAAACGACAGGACAGAAACTTGGGCACCTGTGGCCACTAGGTACCTAGCATTAGTGTGAAAATGTGTACTTTAATTAAACGAGCAACCTGGAGTGACGGGGAGGAGACAGATGAAAATGCAATGACCTGCACCTCGGAGTTCATTATTATGGCTATCCGCCATTTCAAAACGTTGTTGCAAGTATGATATACATTAATGGACATTAATAATAGTACTGCAACTGGATAAAAATAAGGATAGAAGAAGAATAAACTCACCCTAATTGACTTCTTTGGATAAAACTTCAGCTTACCAATTTTCGTCGTGACCTAGTCGAGATTGACTACAACGGCCCCCTCTCACTTCATGTCTCGAGACTTGCTAGTTGTTATTATTGCCATTTCTCTGACCATTAACTTAGTCTACGTTTGCCTCGCTTACTCTTCGGTCCTCTCGCACAATCTTTACTACCAATTAACTAAGTTATTTATCCGTTTATTCACTGAGTTTTGGAATCTTCTTATTATCACTATAACTTTCTCTTTATTATTCTCCACATTGCAACTAACCCTGCAACCCGGAAACAAACATACTCATCCAAATCACGGGAAATGCAAATTCATAAATAACTGCCAACTGACTACAATTAGTGCAGTCGAGCGGCTAGACTACCATTGATTGGAAACTACCGAAAACTTGGATCCTTACCGAAAGAACGAGAATCGAGCGTAAAGAAAACAATTGGTTTGTACTGACTGGTGAAAATTATATTGGATATTATATATTGGGCTAGACGTAAGTCTTTAGGAAGGGACTGACACAGACCATAGACATTCCTCATTTAACAAGATAACATAAATTTAGATGATACATTGAACTCGTCAGCTGGTCATTTCAAGGCCATAGAGGGACAACTGTTCGAAATTTCGGAGGACAAGCTTAAGTCTACTTGTCATTCACTGATTTATTGTTATGTCTTTCGACTTTGGGCGGATTAAGAAAGCATTATTTGGGGATGCCTCACCTCGACCGAAACTTACATCTCTTGACATCGAGGGTAAATTCAATGGTTTTAATATATTTTGTTAGGTGTGTCACAGTTAATTCATGATGGTTGTGTCAGCAAAATAGTAACTATGGTGGGTGCTGGGGTATCGACAGGTAAAGTTTTCCACTTTATTTTTACTAAACCAAAGGATTTCTTGATCATAGTGTTCATGTGTTGTGTAGTTGTTGTACTGTAACAGTCTCTGATGTGTTTTTCATATGAGTAGACAATTTAAGAATGGTATGTAGGATTCTAGCTAGTAATTATAATTAAATAGACTATATATTTGTATTTAGTAGGGTGATTGGACCACATAATTATCTTTTTATTCCTATTTCAGGGTTCTGACAACACGACTGTCGACTTCTGTAGCGTTAGGTCAAGCGAATGATGCACTTCAAATCCAATACAGGACAAAAGATTTAATAGTACGATATGGTAACTGTAAGCCACACTACCGAACGACGTGGATATTTATTACAAGTTTCTGCTAATGAGGAGGTAAAAGTTGAATTATGGTGAAAGATCGACTAATTTACGTGATATGTGGTGCCTATAGTGAAACTGCGATATTATACCTTTGATCATTACTAGTGTAAGGATATAGTATCCCGGTGGCCCTAAGGAAAATATGTGTACTTTCTAACGTAATGGGTGCTCAAATCAGTGATTTTCGTGAATATATGTGGTGTAAGGCTCATTTGACAGGCTATAAACTTGTGGCGGTACGACAGTATCACAGCGCGTATCAGATACTCTTTAACTTTAACTATAACGGTATATTGAAGCAAAGCTTATTTATTCTCCTTCCCAAACCAAGGTTCTAGTTCTTATCTTTAGAAATAGGCTTACATTTATTTGAGGGTATGCTTGAGTTTGATACTTGATTACCTCTTACGAAGTGAGGGCTAGCGACTGCCTCTGTTACTTCAGTGCGTAATCAGGCTTAGTGGAGTTATTAAATATCACCATTCCTCTCCAACTTTCCAGTTGATAACATTCAGAAAACATATTGGAAGAGAATACATGTGGGTCAGTCAGTCAGTTGCAACGTAGAACTTCGTACGTAAGTACATCAGTTCATGTCGCCATACCACATCAGCACAGAGATATAATTGTCAATTCAAATCCAATAGTAGAAGAGGTAGTAAAGGTATTAGAAGTAATCTAAGAGGTTAGGATTAGAAGATATTATTCAAGAAGTATGATTCAATGAGATAAGTTTAGAAAGTCAAAACTAGAGGTGTTGAAGAACCCAGAAGATTAGGATCTGAGAGAACACAAAGAATAAATGCACTGGCGCCATTGCGAACGATTTTGAGCCATGTCATTCAAGGTCTCTAGCCATCGATTATTATCATCTCGCGGACCCCAACCAGGTAGTCGACAATTACCGACATGGCTAAGTCCACTCGTCAATGACTTCATGGATTTCTGCCATGTTTTGGTCTGGCCGCTCCTAGCTTTCTTCCAACCTATTCCTACACTACAAAACAAAGCTCGACGAGGCAGTCGGTGGTTAGGCATACGCAACACGTGTCCCAACCACCTCAACTGATGAAGTTTCACCACTTCATCGATTGATCTGCCATTCTTACCTAGTACCCGTTTCCTAATAACAGCGTTGCTCACTCGGGTGTCCCACGATATACGAGCAATGCTTCTAAGACACCTATGATCGAAAACCAGTAACCTACGAATATCTTCTACTCTCACTGGCCATGTTTCACAGCCATAAAGTAAGACGCAGCGAACCACTGCACAGTACACTCGTCCTTTAGTCAGCAAACGGATATCACGCCTACGCCATAAGTGACGCAGGTTGGCCAAAGCCGATCGAGCCTTCTGTATCCGAGCTGAGATTTCGTCAGTCACCAGGCCATCGGCACTGATGAGACTCCCAAGATAAGTGAAGCGGTCTACACGTTCGACTGCTTCACTCCCTATCACTAGTTCAGGTGCCAATGAAACCCAATCATGAAGCAACATTTTGCATTTCGAGGGGGAAAACCGCATCCCGAACATGCTTGCATTGTTGCTTAGGGTGGTCAAAAGACTCTGCATTTTGTCAGCGTCTTCACCAAGTAGAACTATGTTATCGGCATATTCTAAGTCGATAAGCGAGCCACCTGGTAGAAGGTCTACTCCAGAAAATTCAGACGAGGATAATGTTATGTCTAGGAGCATGTCTATGATAAAATTAAACAAGAATGGAGAAAGTGGACATCCCTGACGGACACCACTTGAAGTGAGGAATTCCGGTGACAGTTCGCCATAAGCTCTCACTCGACCAGTGGTGTTCGAGTAGAGAGCTTGTATGAGGTTAATGTACTTCTTTGGTACACCTTTCAATGACAGACACTGCCACAGAACCTCACGATCTACAGCGTCAAATGCCGCTTTTAAGTCCAGGAACACAATTATTGTAGGACGCCTAAATGTGTGTCTGTGTTCCAGGACCTGTCGTAGTGTGAAGATGTGGTCTATACAACCACGTCCAGGTCGAAAACCGGCCTGGTTTTCTCTAGTCTGCTCTTCACGAGCTTTCGTTAAGCGTCGAAGTATTATTGAGGCCAATATTTTAGATACTATATTAGTTAGACTTATTCCCCTGTGATTGTCACAAGAAGACTTTTGTCTTTTCTTATAGATTGGGACAATCAGTGATTGAGACCAGTCGGATGGGATTACGTCCAGTTCCCAGATTCTACCTAAGATCTCAGTCAATCTAGCTGCTAAAACTGGACCACCATCCTTAAGTATCTCAGGCGTCAGTCTATCAGGACCCGCAGCTCGCCCTCGCTTCAGATTTCCTAACGCTTTTTCAACTTCATTAAGACTAGGGGGACTTACGTCGATTTGCCATTCAGGATGACTGGAGATCGTGGGTAACCGAAGAGTGGCTCGAGGCCAGTTGAACTGATCCCTAAAGTGTTCTGCCCATCGATCCAGTCTCCTGGATTGAGAATAAATAATAGTCCCGTCATTTTCTGAGATAGTCTCACTTACACTAGGATTCCAAATACCAGTTTCCTTGATAAGTCGGAAAAGTTGTCTACTGTTGCCTATCGCCGCTGCCTTTTCAATCGCTTTTGCTTTCGCCACCAACCACTGTTCACGATCGTTGCGCAGCCTGCGCCTAACCTGACTTCGTTCTTCATCATGTTCAGACCCAGGTGGGATGAGTTTTCGTGCATCCATCAGATCGGTGGATGCTACTGAAACCCACGGCTTCATTCCAGCCGTACGTACGCACACACCCAGTTGCTTAACTATATCAGAAGTACCATATTTCAGCAAATTAAATGTAGGTGCGCTAACTTTCATTCAGTTTCCTTCCCATTCTCAAAACAGTAAATTTGTTAGATTAGTCATGTGTTACAAATTCTATCCTGGCGCTTTCCAAATTGTGTATTATTTGCCGACTGTGAGATTGTGTGGTATACACCGTCTTACTGTCATCGGAATTCTTGACTCTAAGCGGTGTCCGTCAGGGATGTCCACTCTCTCCATTCATGTTTAACTTTGTCGTAGACATCCTTTCAGAGTTAACATTATCATCATCTGACTCTTCAGGAGTGCACCTTCTACCAGGAGACACGCTTGCTGACTTAGAATATACCGATGATATAGTGCTATTCGGTGAACACGCCAATAAAATGCAGTCTTCTCACTACTCTAAGCAACAATGCAAGAATGTTCGGTGTGCCCATTTCTCCCTCGAAATGCAAAATATTGCTTCAGCATTGGCTTGCAATCTCACTTGAACTAGTGATAGGGAGTGAAGTAGTTGGGTGTGTCGACCGTTCCACTTATCTCGGGAGTCTCATCAGTGCCGATGGCCTGGTGACTGACGAAATCTCAACACGGATACAGAAGGCTCGATTGGCTTTTGCCATCTTGCGTCACCTATGGCGCAGGCGAGATATCCGTTCGCTAACCGAAGGACGAGTGTATCGTGCAGCAGTTCGCTCCGTCCTACTATATGGATGCGAAACATGGCCGGTAAGAGTAGAGGACATTCGTAGGTTATTAGTATTCGATCGTAGGTGACTTCGAAGCATTGCTCGTATATCCTGGGACAACCGAGTATGCAATGTTGTCGTTAGGAAACGAGTTCTATTTAAGGATGGCAGATCAACAGATGAAGTAATGAAACTTCATCAGTTGAGGTGGGTAGGACATGTGTTACGTATGGCTTGCCACCAACTGCCTCGATGAGCAATGTTTAGTGTTGTAGGTTTAGGTTGGAAGAAAGCTAGGTGTGGCAAAACCAAAACATCGCACAAATCCATGAAGTCACTAACAAGTGGACTGAGTCATGTTGGTAGATGTAGGCTACCTGGTTGGGGTCCGCGAGATGATAATAATCGATGGCTAGAGACCTTGAATGATATGGCTCAAAATCGTTTGCAATGGTGCAGGTGCATCCACTCTTTTTGTCATCTCAAATTCTAACCTCCTGAATTCTTAACATATCTATCTTTCTCTTTCTGAGTTTATCTGACTGAAGTATACTTCCTGAATCATATCTTCTGCTAATACCTCTGCTATCTCCATCACTGTTTGATTTGAACTGACAATAGCGTTTCTGTGCTGATGCGGTACGGAAACCTGAACTGATGTACGGACGTACGAAGTTCCACGTTTTTATTGGCTGATTTTATAGTATTGGATGATGCGCATCGTAATACGCTCTTTTTTGTTCTGATGGGTGCTCTGATGATTTATAGTCCATGAAATTCTCGTCCTATCTGCGCCTTTTGTGCTTGTTTTGACAGCATCAGTGCATCTCCTTTTTATGTGTGAGGCGTTTTCTTCTTCATGGCCGAAGTATAACAGCAGCTCTCCTGAAGCTAGTCACGGTCATCAACCCCAGCCCCAGAGGGGCTCCAGACAGAGTTCATAATAACTAAACCCATCAGTTGTTCTTGTTCATTTGTTGATCACTTTTGCTACCTTACTCTTATTTGTTCACAATACTATCGCTTCCTTTTTATGGCCTTCTGTCCTACCATTATTTATTTTCTGTATGTACTTCATAGCCTTAAAACTGTTTATTATTATCAAGTTCTTCAAGGCTGTTTCATATTTCCATTATTAGGAACTGATTCATCAGAATTAGGTATGCTGTCCTATGCTGTCCATGGACAACCCTCCCTCCTTGATACAAGCATAATCTGTAAATATAAACACGTCTTCACCAGTTACTGGTATAATTAATCGTAACTAAAAATGTATGTACAGGTATTTTAATCACAAGTAATCAGTTCGATGTACATATTTTTTAACCTTGACTTTTTACTTAGTATTTTTCTCATTTCTTGTTTCGCCGTGCTTAATTATTCTAAAACCAAAGTCCTATAAACATAACATGTATTTTTTTTTTTGAAAAAATCAAAGCTGCTGGAATACCTGATTTCCGAAGTTCATCTTCTGGTATATACGAAAACTTGGAAGAGTTTAACTTGCCTACTCCCACAGCAATATTCTCGATTAGTTATTTTCGAGTAGGCGTATTTCCAATGTCGGTAAACGTGTTTTTCGCTTTTCCAGAACAATCCCAGACCTTTTTTTGAGATTGCAAGGCGTCTGTACCGACCAGAAGCAAAGGCACGTTCTGCATATTTTATAACATTGATATTTAGCCTACGTTCGCTCATTATTTTATCAAGTTACTTCATGATAAAGGCTTACTTCTTAGACACTATACACAGGTATTTAAATTTTTTCACTGAATTTTTATTTCTTCAGAATGTTGATAGCTTGGAACGCCTATCTGGCTTACCAGAGGAGAAATTAGTTGAAGCTCACGGAACATTCCACACCGGACACTGTATTAATTGCAATAGACAGTATGATTTCGAGTTTATGTTAAGTACTTACCACTCAGAATAAATAACCTTTCTGTCTGTTTGTAGATGACATTTTAGCTAAAAAAGTTCCCAAATGCCTTGAATGCCAAAATGTTGTCAAACCTGGTAATTACTTACCTTTAAATAAATTATTAATAGATGTTGTACTTTTTGGTGAGAGCATGCCGGAAATATTTTTCAGAAACCTCTCATCGGTAAGTTAAAAACATTTTCATGTTTGCTTGTTCGAAATCAGTTATTGTAGCACATAGACTATCACCTTCCGATATTGTTAAAGAATAAAATAAACGTGTCATATGATCGATCTAGAGTCAGCTTTTTATGGTGCATACGAATCACTTAGTCAGTTATAACGTACGTACATCAGTTCAGGTTTCCGTACCACATCAGCACAGAGACACAAAGAGATAAGGAATAAACAAGAAGGTTTGCTGGCTGAATGATTCAAGATATGTGTATGTACTCATAAATTGGATATCCATCCCTCGAGTAGATGAGCTATATTTCGACCAATAACATTTTTCTGTGTCTGTCAGGTAATTAGATCAAACCTCAGTCTATAGTATGCGTTTGTCAACATCTTGATTGTTATTAGATTTTGAACTAATTGGCCTAGTGTATCAGCTTACCGTTCAACTATTCCCTGACTTTTTTAGTACTATTTTCACTACTTTTTATGTCAAGTGCTGTGAAAGTTAAGTTTTAGGCATATTATGTTTATAGATCATACTTATGTACAATAGATTATGTAGCAATTGCAAAAGTTACCTCAGTTAATGCCAATTCTAGCATTTTACTTAGTATCTAGTTTCACAATTCAGTTTTAATGTAATATAGGATCTCAATAATTGTGATTTACTCATCATAATGGGGACTTCGTTAACTGTATTGCCATTCTGTGCAATGATTCATCGTGTTGGCAATGATGTCCCGCGACTGTACATTAATCGAGAATATAACGATGGTTCTACAGAATCTGTAAGTTTGTTTAAGTCTGTGAATGACTGGTTTATTTGTATTTGTATTCGATTATTTAGTATCCTCTGAAAACCAATCATAGGAAATACCTCAGTGACATCCTGTCCAAACTGATGGTCATTGGGATTACCGTTTAAATAGTGTTTAAGTTTAAACACAGTGAATGAATTTCGGAATCAACTGAAATGTATGCATTCGAAATTCACTCTACAGATTTATCCCTACATAACTTTCGGCATCGTGACTGTGGGACAGGTATTTGTTTTATGATTACTTACTTATGCTTGTTACCCCTAACGGAGCACAGGCCACCGACCAGCATTCTCGAGCCTACTCTGTCATAAGCCTTCCTTTCCAGTTCTATCCAATCATTGTTCATTCTTTTCATAACTCTCTCCGATTCTCGGCGTAACGTTTTCTTTGGTCTTCTTCTTCTCTTTTGGCCTTGTGGATACCAAGTGAGGGATTGCCTTGTGACGAAGTTGGATGCTTTTCTCAATGTGCGTTCTATCCACCTCCAGCGCTTTTTCCTTATTTCCTCATCTGGAATATGATTTTTTCTCGAACACAGTAGGTTGTTGCTGATGGCGTCTGGCCAACAGATCCGAAGTATTTTGCGTAGACAACTGTTAATAAACACTTGTATCTTATGTATGATCGCTCTCATGATTCTCTAATTTTCCACCCCATCAGTTGAACTTTCTTGACGTTTATATTGAAAATGCTGACTTTGGTGCTGGTTGGTAGTTGTTCTGAGTTGCAGATGCTGTTTAGTTGTAGAAATGCTGCCCTTGCTTTACCAATCCTCTCCTTCACATCTGCATCAGATCTACCTTGCTCATAAATGATGCTGTCCAGATATTTAGAGATTTCTAAATCCCCTGACCTTCTTCGTCAAGTGTGATTTGGTTGTTCCATGTAGTGTTGTATCAAAAGCCCTTGCTTTTTCTCTAGTGTATGTTGAGACCTACTGATTCTACGCTAGTCGTCATCTCCTGCAATTGTTGTTGCGTGCGAGATAGAAGAGCCAGATAATCTGCAGAATCTGGATCATCAAGTTGCATCAGATTTGTTCCGTATATCCTACTCCTCTCCTCAGTTTTTTTTCCCGACCGTAGCTGCTACCTTGACGTGGTGGTCGGGCTTGCATATCGTGATGATCCAACCGAGCTATACTGGCTGGAACTTATGTTCCTGAAGGTTCTACCATACCAGGCAGGTCGATTGGAGGACGATGAGACTAAAAGCAGCTACCCAAGGTCTGACGGCGAAGTCGTACTGCTGACTGTGATGGAGGGGTGTGACAGCAGTAAAGTGTTTCCATCGGACAACTAGCATCTGCAGCGATGCTGCCTTCTCACAAGGAAGGAAGGGTTAGAAAAGGTCGGCCCTAAAAATGTCACACCTCACTCTACCTCACGGATTTCCGTCTCCGTCGGTAAAGGTGCCCACTGAGGGCTTTCAAGAGTGGAGAGCCAACACTCAAAAAACCTTTCATAAGAAGGCTGTGCGTGACTGGCCTCAAGCAGTTGTTCCTTGGACTCTTCGGTCACGCTCGCAGGTATCTAAGAACAACGCTAATCTACCTTCCTTTTCTGGTCCCTCAAGAAAAAACCTTCCACGGTGTGGGCAGCATGGAAGTGACAACCGCCCTCATACCCGTAACAGCACGAGAGACCAAATTGGTCGAAATCAAATCCTTCCTACACCCCCTAGTACCTCTCTTATCTCCACGACTAACTCTTCTCACATTCACTTATCACAGTGCACAGCTAATACAGACGACACGAGTTCGCGAAACGTCATTCCTGATCTCTTGAAACCTCGTTCTAGTCTACATGTTGGAGCATTTAATGTACGGACTTTGTGTCAAATAGGGCAACAGGCATCATTAGCTAGGACTTTAGAAACTCGTGCCATCGATGTATGCTGCATCTCGGAAACGTGCATACAGAATCCAAGTAAAATTATTATTCTGATTTCACTTTGTCAAAATAGGGAAGCAGCTGGATTTACTCTTCGTGTATCCGGTAGCCCTGATGCTGCTTCCAGGGGTCTTGCTGGCGTAGGCATAGCATTGAGTCGTAGAGCTGAACAATCTCTCCTAGACTGGATCCCAGTAGATAGTCGCTTGTGCGCTGTCCGACTAAACGAGACAGTAAGGACTCGGAAGTATAGGGACGCTCGCCGTTGCCTCTTCATCGTATCTGCCTATGCCCCCACTGACTGCAGTTCAGACGAGGTTAAAGATGAGTTTTACAGAAAGCTTTCGGACCTCCTCCAAAAAGCTAGGCGCTCTGATATAGTAATAATGGCTGTTGACTTTAATGCTCAAGTACGTAGACTAAGTGAGCAGGAGAGACACCTTGGTGTATGTTATCGTGTCGCGGCTCAGAGAACAAAAATGGTGACCGTCTGTGGCAAGTATGCTCAGACAACCGCCTATTCTTAGCGAACACTAACTTTAGGCATAAGGAAAAGCATCTGTTGACCTGGCGACCTCCAAAGTCGTCTCAACGTTGGACCCAACTAGATCACATTGCCATCAGCTACCGATGGAGGGGTTCGATAGAGGACTGTCGCTCGTTCTGGGGCACATGTTTAGATTCAGATCATGCCCTAGTGCGAGCGCGTATTTGTTTGAGGCTTACTGGACGTAGGAAAGACACCGCAAGGAAACCTCTTAGGGTTCTGCTTAATGAAAATGAGGCTATGAGTATATTCCAGGAACAACTAGAAAGAGAGTTAGGCAACCATGTAAGTGATTCCCACCCCGAGGCAGCTTGCAATGATATCGAAAAGGCTGTAGAAACAGCTGTGATATCTGTTAGTAAGGTAAACCATAAGGCTAGAATGAAGCCGTGAATCTCAATAGCATCCACCGATCTGATGGATGCACGAAAACTCATCCCACCTGGGTCTGAACATGATGAAGAACGAAGTCAGGTTAGGCGCAGGCTGCGCAACGATCGTGAACAGTGGTTGGTGGCGAAAGCAAAAGCGATTGAAAAGGCAGCGGCGATAGGCAACAGTAGACAACTTTTCCGACTTATCAAGGAAACTGGTATTTGGAATCCTAGTGTAAGTGAGACTATCTCAGAAAATGACGGGACTATTATTTATTCTCAATCCAGGAGACTGGATCGATGGGCAGAACACTTTAGGGATCAGTTCAACTGGCCTCGAGCCACTCTTCGGTTACCCACGATCTCCAGTCATCCTGAATGGCAAATCGACGTAAGTCCCCCTAGTCTTAATGAAGTTGAAAAAGCGTTAGGAAATCTGAAGCGAGGGCGAGCTGCGGGTCCTGATAGACTGACGCCTGAGATACTTAAGGATGGTGGTCCAGTTTTAGCAGCTAGATTGACTGAGATCTTAGGTAGAATCTGGGAACTGGACGTAATCCCATCCGACTGGTCTCAATCACTGATTGTCCCAATCTATAAGAAAAGACAAAAGTCTTCTTGTGACAATCACAGGGGAATAAGTCTAACTAATATAGTATCTAAAATATTGGCCTCAATAATACTTCGACGCTTAACGAAAGCTCGTGAAGAGCAGACTAGAGAAAACCAGGCTGGTTTTCGACCTGGACGTGGTTGTACAGACCACATCTTCACACTACGACAGGTCCTGGAACACAGACACACATTTAGGCGTCCTACAATAATTGTGTTCCTGGACTTAAAAGCGGCATTCGACGCTGTAGATCGTGAGGTTCTGTGGCAGTGTCTGTCATTGAAAGGTGTACCAAAGAAGTACATTAACCTCATACAAGCTCTCTACTCGAACACCACTGGTCGAGTGAGAGCTTATGGCGAACTGTCACCGGAATTCCTCACTTCAAGTGGTGTCCGTCAGGGATGTCCACTTTCTCCATTCTTGTTTAATTTTATCATAGACATGCTCCTAGACATAACATTATCCTCGTCTGAATTTTCTGGAGTAGACCTTCTACCAGGTGGCTCGCTTATCGACTTAGAATATGCCGATAACATAGTTCTACTTGGTGAAGACGCTGACAAAATGCAGAGTCTTTTGACCACCCTAAGCAACAATGCAAGCATGTTCGGGATGCGGTTTTCCCCCTCGAAATGCAAAATGTTGCTTCATGATTGGGTTTCATTGGCACCTGAACTAGTGATAGGGAGTGAAGCAGTCGAACGTGTAGACCGCTTCACTTATCTTGGGAGTCTCATCAGTGCCGATGGCCTGGTGACTGACGAAATCTCAGCTCGGATACAGAAGGCTCGATTGGCTTCTGCCAACTTGCGCCACGTATGACGAAGGCGAAATATTCCTTTGCTGACTAAAGGACGAGTGTACTGTGCAGTAGTTCGCTTCGTCCTACTATATGGCTGTGAAACATGGCCGATAAGAGTAAAAAACATTCGTAGGTTATTTCTATTTGTTTATACATCTCTTCGAAGCCATACTCATGTATCCTGCGGCCACCGAGTAAGCAATCCTGTCGTAAGGACACGAGTACTATGTAGGGATGGCAAATCAATTGATGTTCTAGTGAAACCCCATCAGTTGAGGTGGTCGGGACCTTTGTTACGTATGCCTGCGTCTTACTTTATGGCTGTGAAACATGGCCAGTGAGAGTAGAAGATATTCGTAGGTTACTGGTTTTCGATCATAGGTGTCTTAGAAGCATTGCTCGTATATCGTGGGACACCCGAGTGAGCAACGCTGTTATTAGGAAACGGGTACTAGGTAAGAATGGCAGATCAATCGATGAAGTGGTGAAACTTCATCAGTTGAGGTGGTTGGGACACGTGTTGCGTATGCCTAACCACCGACTGCCTCGTCGAGCTTTGTTTTGTAGTGTAGGAATAGGTTGGAAGAAAGCTAGGAGCGGCCAGACCAAAACATGGCAGAAATCCATGAAGTCATTGACGAGTGGACTTAGCCATGTCGGTAATTGTCGACTACCTGGTTGGGGTCCGCGAGATGATAATAATCGATGGCTAGAGACCTTGAATGACATGGCTCAAAATCGTTCGCAATGGCGCCAGTGCATTTATTCTTTGTGTTCTCTCAGATCCTAATCTTCTGGGTTCTTCAACACCTCTAGTTTTGACTTTCTAAATTTATCTCATTGAATCATACTTCTTGAATAATATCTTCTAATCCTAACCTCTTAGATTACTTCTAATACCTTTACTACCTCTTCTACTATTGGATTTGAATTGACAATTATATCTCTGTGCTGATGTGGTATGGCGACATGAACTGATGTACTTACGTACGAAGTTCTACGTTGCAACTGACTGACTGGCCACGCTGTGGAATGCTTTCTCGTATTCATTGAAGTTGATGTACAGTGGTGAATTTCATTCAATTGATTGTTCCAACATGATTCGTAGTGTAGCGATTTGGTCGAAGCATGATTGATCCTTACGGAATCCAAACTACTGACCTCGAAATTGGGCGTCTACAAAATCTTTCTTTCAGATTCCCAGCACTGTGTTCAATACTTTTTTGGTATTGCTAAGATCTCTTATCTTTTGTATATTGATGCGGTGTCCTTTCCAGTCTCTCTGTATTTGTTCTTCCTCCCAAGTCTTTCTGAACAGAGTATGAAACATGTTTTCAACTGCTGCTATGTTTGCTTTCAGTGCCTCAGCTGGAACGTTGTCTGGTCCTGCTGCTGCACCGCTCTTGATTTGTCTGATGACCATGCCGATCTCTGCAATTGTTGGCAGGTCAGCCTTGATTGGGTGTTCCGTGGGTGCTGATTTGATGTTGGATGGGATCAGTGTTGATTTAATTCAGGTTTTCTCTTCCATAAAGTATCGAGTCCAAGTTTATTACATTTGTTTCTATAACTTAAAGTAGAATCAGTTTCAAGAATGCTATGAAATCGCCTCTGAAGCTATACCAAACTTAGTTTATTCTTTAAAGAAACTACTAAGAACAAATGTGCAGTATTCTAGAAATGGTTGAGCACAATTTTCCTATTAAAATACATCATTTATTATTCTGAAAGTTACGAATTTTGCAACTCAGTAGATATCAAAACTTGGTGGTCTGTTTTGATATCTGTTCTGAGGTCAAATTTTTATGAGTACTTGAGTCCTAAGTCCTCCACTGTATAAAACCTGAATAACACCTTACCATTTATGGTTAGATGTAGATTGAATGAAGCAATACCAACACAAATCCATTTTCATTTAACCATATTAAACAGCGAATTCCATTTTGAGTACTACTGAGCTACCTTGCTAAGTTCCGTACTGACACAGTTTTGTATATTGCTTAGTTCATGAAGAGAAATGAATACACTACTTTAAGATTGTCTGCATATAGAAGAGTCTTACCGTCACAGAAGTAATTGCAAATGTCATTTATGTAAGATAAAACTAGTAAGGGACCTGAAGCATTACCTTGTATTACTCCGCTTTCGACCGGGATAGCACCAGATAAAGAGTTTATTTCGGTGACTTGGTGTCGGTAACAGAAAAGAGTTAAACCAAGTAAGCAAAGGATTTTTGATGGCGTAATATGTGAGTTTGTCTATAACAGGTTTTAGAAAATTTAAAGTATAACACTAGGACAATGTGACCTCGGCTACGTTGAGTAAAGACTAAGTTGAAGAAGTCAAAGTCGCATGTCGAAAAAATCTATTTTTAAGGAAGTTGTATTGGGAATCAGTAACAAGTTGCTAACTAAATAAACAGTTGTGAAGGTTTTCCAACAGTTTGAGTAGGTTCTGGTCACCAGAGTGAGTAAAAAGCTTCAGAAGTAGTGGTATATTAGGTCCACCATACTTGAAGAGAACAGATGGAATCCCGTGTACTCTATGACTATTTGAAGCCTTAAGGGAGTTAGTAGCTTTACTTATTGCTAGATAAGTGTGTAGATTGTTATAGAAGTTAATGAGTAGTGAATAATGAAGTTCTCGCATATTTGGAGTCAAGTTTTAGCAATACCTCAGTCTTTATTACTAATTTTTAGGTTTTCAGGTGGTGACTTGTAAGTGCTGACATACTTTTGATTCTGTTAACTCTAGTCCAATGTTTTCTTAAATATTTACCATATTTTATTGTTTTTTACAAGTACTCACGTAATCGCTTATAAATGGTTTGTCTCCAAGTACGTCGTTTTATATTATTTTTATTGAGGCTTTATCTTCATTCATTATGCGGTTTATGGTGGCTGGTTTTAAACAGAATTATATGAAATGGGGCAGATCTGATAATAAACGTGATGTATTTTGGTCGGGTAATGCTGATGATGGTGTCACTAAATTATCAGAACTTCTTGGCTGGAAGGTAAATACAATAATCCATGTTATGTTGTTATTTTTATGTTCCACTGCTATGATGTGATATGTTGATATAAATTGAAAGTTCCGTTATATTTATTGTAATCTCTGTCCTTGTCACTCAGGATTTGATTGTGACCGATTTGGCCTAACCAAAACATGCAGCAAATCCATGAAGTCACTGACAACTGGATTGAATCATGTTCGTAGGTGTCGAATACTTGGTTGGGGCCCGCGAGATGATAGTAATAGATGGTTAGAGACCCTGAATGTCATGGCTCGAAACCGCTTGCAATTTCGCAGGTGCATCCACACTTTATGTTCTCTCAAATCCTAACCTTCTGAATTCCCCATCACCTTTATCTTTTTATTCTTAAGTTTATTTCAATTGATTCTACTTCTCATAGAATGTCTTTGAACCCCATTCTCTCCGATTACTACTAATATCTTTACTACATCTACTACTATGGGATTTGAATTAACAAATACATCTCTGTGTTAACGTGGTGTGGCAACTTAAAGTGATATACGTACGTACGAAGTTCTAAGTTGTAACTGACTGACTGATTGTCACTCATTATTGTTTATTTTCGATAACCGTCGTGATTTGGAATAAAGTGTCATCAGATTCTAATTGTTTTAACTCTTCATCTTGAACTACTGTTGATCTTTTAGATTTTTTTGTTTATCATGGATTATAATAATTCTTTTCGTCATATTTGAAGTTCATCAAGATCCAAACCTCTCACAAAATCATCAATTAAATTTAAAGTGCAACTCATAACAACATGAAACGTTGGTACATTGCGAAAATAAATTCATTAAATGTAATAATATGAATAATATTGGCTGTCGTATCTTTTGTTCTTATGAAGAGCAGAATGTTTTGATCTAATCAAGAGTTATTCTCGATATTATACAAAGATGATATCTTTCTACTCCTGATTTTTAAAAAAAAATCAGTTTTCGGGCTGATCATATTTTAGCGTGCCAACCAGTTTTGTATTCCGTTCAGCCTTACGGTCTTAATTTCACATCAAGAGAAGATATCAATTTTCAGGTTTCGTTTATCTAAGAAATCATGATTCAATGGCAAACAATATTTCTTAGCTCAATTAGTGATCAATAAATTTCTCGGAAAAGTGATCATTAAGTATTTATGTTGTAATTTTATTTGATATCATAAATATCCTATGAAATAAACAATATAAATATGCTTATTCACAGTTTAATAAACCTTACAAATAGTCAAAAGATTAGTTAGGCGAGACTGTTAGTGATTGCGACCAAAACGAAAGAAATGCTACTATTATTCGATAGATTCATAGACATTGTTTAGTATAATCAGAGTCAGTCAGTTACAACCTAGAACTTCGTGTGTACGTACATCAGTTCACGTTGCCATACCGCATCGGCACGGATACGCAATTATCAGTTCAAATCCCATAGTGATGGAGATAGAAGAAGTATTAGCAGTAATGGAGAAAATTAAGGTTAAAAGATGTGATTTAAGAAGTATAATTGAGGATGATAACCAAAAAAATTAAGATAATGATGATTACCAATTCATGACTCAGTCCACTTGTTAGTGACTTCATGGATTTGTGCGATGTTTTGGTTTTGCCACACCTAGCTTTCTTCCAGCCTAAACCTACAACACTAAACATTGCTCATCGAGGCAGTTGGTGGTAAGCCATACGTAACACATGTCCCAACCACCTCAACTGATGAAGTTTCATTACTTCATCTGTTGATCTGCCATCCTTAAATAGAACTCGTTTCCTAACGACAACATTGCATACTCGGTTGTCCCAGGATATACGAGCAATGCTTCGAAGTCACCTACGATCGAATACTAATAACCTACGAATGTCCTCTACTCTTACCGGCCATGTTTCGCATCCATATAGTAGGACGGAGCGAACTGCTGCACGATACACTCGTCCTTCGGTTAGCGAACGGATATCTCGCCTGCACCATAGGTGACACAAGATGGCAAAAGCCAATCGAGCCTTCTGTATCCGTGTTGAGATTTCGTCAGTCACCAGGCCATCGGCACTGATGAGACTCCCGAGATAAGTGGAACGGTCGACACACCCAACTACTTCACTCCCTATCACTAGTTCAAGTGAGATCGCAAGCCAATGCTGAAGCAACATTTTGCATTTCGAGGGAGAAATGGGCATCCCGAACATTCTTGCATTGTTGCTTAGAGTAGTGAGAAGACTGCATTTTATTGGCGTGTTCACCGAATAGCACTATATCATCGGTATATTCTAAGTCAGCAAGCGTGTCTCCTGGTAGAAGGTGCACTCCTGAAGAGTCAGACGATGATAATGTTAACTCTGAAAGGATGTCTACGACAAAGTTAAACATGAATGGAGAGAGTGGACATTTCTGACGGACACCGCTCAGAGTAAAGAATTCCGATGACAATTCGCCACAAGCCCTCGCTTGACCAGTGGTGTTCGAGTAAAGAGCTTGTGTAAGATTAATGTACTTCTTTGATACACCTTTCAAAGACAGACAGTGCCACAAAACCTCACGATCGACAGGGTCAAGTGCCGCCCTACATGAGAATAGTACTTTTATTGTGATAACGTTAAAACGTGTGTCTTTGTTCTGGGACCTGTCGAAGTGTGAATTTGTGGTCTATACATCTATGTCCAGGTCTGAAAGTAGCCTAGTTTTCTCCTATCTGCACTTCACGAGCTTTCGTTAGGCGTCCGAGTATTATTGAGGCCAACATTTCCGATACTATATTAGTTAGACTTATTCCTCTGTGACTGTCGCAAGAGGACGTATTCCCTTTCTTATAGACTCAGAAAATCAGCGATTCGGGACCAGTCAGATGGGATTACGTCCAGTTCCCAGATTCTACCTAAGATTTCAGTCAATCTCACTGTTAAAACTCGACCACCATCCTAGATTATCTCACGGCCAACCCTATCAGGAGCTGCTGCTCTACCTCCCTTTAGATTTACCATGGCTTTCTCAGCTGCATGTAGACTAGGGTGACTTAAATCGGTTTGCATTTCAGGATGACTGCAGATCGTGGATAAGCGAAGTTTGGCTGAATGCCAGTTGAACTAATCACTAAAGTGCTCTGTCCATCGATCCAGTCTCCTGGATTGGATAATAAGACCATCCTTATCCGAAATAGTTTCATTCATATTCGAGTTCCTAATACCGGTTCCCTTAATGAGTCGGAAAAGTTTTCTAGTGTTGCCTATCGCCGCTGCCTTTTCCATCGCTTTTGCTTTCGCCACCCACTACTGTTCACGATCGTTGCGTATGCTTTTTATTAGCTTGCGCTTAAGCTGACTTCGTTCTTTATCATGTTCAAAGCCAGGTGGGATGAGTTTTCGAGCATCCATCAGTTCGGTGGATGCTATTGAGATCCACGGCTTCATCCTAGCCTTATGGTTAACCTTACTAACAGATATCACTGCTGTTTCCACAGTCTTCTTGATATCATTCCAACCTGCCTCTGGATGGGAATCACTTGCAAGGTCGCCTAACTGTATTTCTAGTTGTTCCTGAAATATATTCTTTGTCCTAAGATTTCAGTCAATCTCACTGTTAAAACTCGATTACCATCCTTAAAATTCTCAGTTGTAAGCCTGTCAGGTCCTGAAGCTCTCCAGCGCTTCTTTGTCCCTAAGGTTAGTCTTTGGTAGGAATAGACGGTTTTGTGATTATAGCTTCAGCAGATAGTTGCCGTTATCTTTTCCTTTAGCTGCAACACCATAAGATTCACCCGCTTGTCTACCTTTTTCACTTAGTTTACCTTCTGAAGCAATAATGGCATCAGGTGAAGTGTTACATTTCTAGGGTCGACCTTTGATAACTCCTTTTTTCCTTGTGAAAAGGCAGCATTGCTGCCTTGCACTTTGTCATTTAACCCTCCTAACTATAATAAAATGTTCATTCAAATAAATTCATACTTTATTATTGTTCAAATCCTTTCATTTTGCCTTAGGCTGAACTGTTAAAACTAAAGAGAGAAACGGACTCCCGCTTAGATGCAGAGTTTATGGAGAAGAAGTCGCAATACAATAACAAGAAATCAGTGGTCAATGATTAAAAATGTCCTATTCATTCATCTATTTTGATTAGTTCAAACGACTATCACTAACTAATGTAACTTGTCTTCTTGTTTTCATTTCTTCTGAATTTATTTTAAATGAAATATGTACGGAATTTTTCATATCCTAAAACTTTGCAAAATATGAATGAATTTGTATTCTGATATTTTTCGTGTAATCCGATTAAATTTTCACCCTGCGGCTTGTTACAAACATCATAGACTATACAATTCATGTTTCCCGACCATAGCTGCTACCTTAAAGTGGTGGTCGGGCTTGCATATCGTGATGATCCAACCGAGCCGTACTGGCTGGAACACATGTTCCCGAAGGTTGTACCATGCCAGGCAGGTCGATTGGAGGACGATGAGACTAGAAGCAGCTACCCAAGGTCTGAGGGCGAAGTCGTACTGCTTACTGTAATGGAGGGGTGTGACAGCAGTAAAGTGTTTCCCTCGGACAACTAGCATCTGCAGCGATGCTGCCTTCTCACAAGGAAGGAAGGGTTAGAAAAGGTCGGCCCTAAAAATGTCACACCTCACCCTACCTCACGGATTTCCGTCTCCGTCGGTAAAGGTGCCCACTGAGGGCTTTCAAGAGTGGAGAGCCAACACTCAAAAAACCTTTCATAAGAAGGCTGTGCGTGACTGGCCTCAAGCAGTTGTTCCTTGGACTCTTCGGTCACGCTCGCAGGTATCTAAGAACAACGCTAATCTACCTTCCTTATCAGGTCCCTCAAGAAACAACCTTCCACGGTGTGGGCAGCAGGGAAGTGACAACCGCCCTCATACCCGTAACAGCACGAGAGACCAAATCAATCATAATCAAATCCTTCCTACACCCCCTAGTACCTCTCTTATCTCCACGACTAACTCTTCTCACATTCACTTATCACAGTGCACAGCTAATGCAGACGACACGAGTTCGCGAAACGTCATTCCCGGTCTCTTGAAACCTCGTTCTAGATTACATTAAATGTACGGAGATTATGTCAAATAAGGCAACACGCTTCATTAGCTAGGACATTAGAATCTCGCTCAATCGATGTATGCTGCATCTCGGAAACGCGCATACAGAATCCAAGTAAAATTATTATTCTGATTTCACTTTGTCAAAATAAAGAAGCAGCTGGATTTACTCTTCGTGTATCCGGTAGCCCTGGTGCTGCTTCCAGGGGTCTTGCTGGCGTAGGCATAGCATTGAGTCGTAGAGCTGAACAATCTCTCCTTGACTGGATCCCAGTAGATAGTCGCTTGTGCGCTGTCCGACTAAACGAGACAGTAAGGACTCGGAAGTATAGGGACGCTCGCCGTTGCCTCTTCATCGTATCTGCCTATGCCCCCACTGACTGCAGTTCAGACGAGGTTAAAGATGAGTTTTACAGAAAGCTTTCGGACCTCCTCCAATAAGCTAGGCGCTCTGCTGTAGTAATAATGGCTGTTGACTTTAATGCTCAAGTACGTAGACTAAGTGAGCAGGAGAGACACCTTGGTGTATGTTATCGTGTCGCGGCTCAGAGAACAAAAATGGTGACCGTCTGTGGCAAGTATGCTCAGACAACCGCCTATTCTTAGCGAACACTAACTTTAGGCATAAGGAAAAGCATCTGTTGACCTGGCGACCTCCAAAGTCGTCTCAACGTTGGACCCAACTAGATCACATTGCCATCAGCCACCGATGGAGAGGTTCGATAGAGGACTGTCGCTCGTTCTGGGGCACATGTTTAGATTCAGATCATGCCCTAGTGCGAGCGCGTATTTGTTTGAAGCTTACTGGGCGTAGGAAAGACACCGTAAGAAAGCCTCTTAGGGTTCTGCTTAATGAAAATGAGGCTAAGAGTATATTCCAGGAACAACTAGAAATACAGTTAGGCGACCTTGCAAGTGATTCCCATCCAGAGGCAGGTTGGAATGATATCAAGAAGACTGTGGAAACAGCAGTGATATCTGTTAGTAAGGTTAACCATAAGGCTAGGATGAAGCCGTGGATCTCAATAGCATCCACCGAACTGATGGATGCTCGAAAACTCATCCCACCTGGCTTTGAACATGATAAAGAACGAAGTCAGCTTAAGCGCAAGCTAATAAAAAGCATACGCAACGATCGTGAACAGTAGTGGGTGGCGAAAGCAAAAGCGATGGAAAAGGCAGCGGCGATAGGCAACACTAGAAAACTTTTCCGACTCATTAAGGGAACCGGTATTAGGAACTCGAATATGAATGAAACTATTTCGGATAAGGATGGTCTTATTATCCAATCCAGGAGACTGGATCGATGGACAGAGCACTTTAGTGATTAGTTCAACTGGCATTCAGCCAAACTTCGCTTATCCACGATCTGCAGTCATCCTGAAATGCAAACCGATTTAAGTCACCCTAGTCTACATGCAGCTGAGAAAGCCATGGTAAATCTAAAGGGAGGTAGAGCAGCAGCTCCTGATAGGGTTAGCCGTGAGATAATCTAGGATGGTGGTCGAGTTTTAACAGTGAGATTGACTGAAATCTTAGGTAGAATCTGGGAACTGGACGTAATCCCATCTGACTGGTCCCGAATCGCTGATTTTCTGAGTCTATAAGAAAGGGAATACGTCCTCTTGCGACAGTCACAGAGGAATAAGTCTAACTAATATAGTATCGGAAATGTTGGCCTCAATAATACTCGGACGCCTAACGAAAGCTCGTGAAGTGCAGATAGGAGAAAACTAGGCTACTTTCAGACCTGGACATAGATGTATAGACCACAAATTCACACTTTGACAGGTCCCAGAACAAAGACACACGTTTTAACGTTATCACAATAAAAGTACTATTCTCATGTAGGGCGGCACTTGACCCTGTCGATCGTGAGGTTTTGTGGCACTGTCTGTCTTTGAAAGGTGTATCAAAGAAGTACATTAATCTTACACAAGCTCTTTACTCGAACACCACTGGTCAAGCGAGGGCTTGTGGCGAATTGTCATCGGAATTCTTTACTCTGAGCGGTGTCCGTCAGAAATGTCCACTCTCTCCATTCATGTTTAACTTTGTCGTAGACATCCTTTCAGAGTTAACATTATCATCGTCTGACTCTTCAGGAGTGCACCTTCTACCAGGAGACACGCTTGCTGACTTAGAATATACCGATGATATAGTGCTATTCGGTGAACACGCCAATAAAATGCAGTCTTCTCACTACTCTAAGCAACAATGCAAGAATGTTCGGGATGCCCATTTCTCCCTCGAAATGCAAAATGTTGCTTCAGCATTGGCTCGCGATCTCACTTGAACTAGTGATAGGGAGTGAAGTAGTTGGGTGTGTCGACCGTTCCACTTATCTCGGGAGTCTCATCAGTGCCGATGGCCTGGTGACTGACGAAATCTCAACACGGATACAGAAGGCTCGATTGGCTTTTGCCATCTTGCGTCACCTATGGCGCAGGCGAGATATCCGTTCGCTAACCGAAGGACGAGTGTATCGTGCAGCAGTTCGCTCCGTCCTACTATATGGATGCGAAACATGGCCGGTAAGAGTAGAGGACATTCGTAGGTTATTAGTATTCGATCGTAGGTGACTTCGAAGCATTGCTCGTATATCCTGGGACAACCGAGTATGCAATGTTGTCGTTAGGAAACGAGTTCTATTTAAGGATGGCAGATCAACAGATGAAGTAATGAAACTTCATCAGTTGAGGTGGTTGGGACATGTGTTACGTATGGCTTACCACCAACTGCCTCGATGAGCAATGTTTAGTGTTGTAGGTTTAGGTTGGAAGAAAGCTAGGTGTGGCAAAACTAAAACATCGCACAAATCCATGAAGTCACTAACAAGTGGACTGTGTCTTGTTGGTACATGTAGGTTACCTGTTTGGGGTGAGAGAGACGATAATAATCGATGGTTAGAGACCTTGAACGACATGGCTCAAAATCGTTTGCAATGGTGCAGGTGCATCCACTCTTTTTGTCATCTCAAATTCTAACCTCCTGAATTCTTAACATATCTATCTTTCTCTTTCTGAACTTGTCTCACTGAATTATACCTTTTAAATCACATCTTCTTACCTCGATTTTTTCCGTTACTTATAATACTCCTACTATCTCTCTGACTATGTTATTTGTTTTGAATTTCACTTCCGTGTGCTAATTTGGCATGGCAGTCTGTGCTTATTTACGTACGTACGATGTTCTACGTTGCGACTGACCATTAATTCATGTTTGATTTTGTCACCAAGATTTCAAGATTTTTTCTGTAAATTATTATAAATGTTGCCTATTATGTAGTGAACTTTTGTAAACTGCCTTTATTGATAACTACAGATGCTACTTAGGCTGAAAGCTCGCAATTGTTATTAGATACTGTGTTTAAGAGTTGATGCTGATACTGAAAACTTTTACATACCCGTCATTTTGAAATTCCTGTATCCGTTGATCGCACTGCTCCTACTTCCATTTGAAATTAGTTAAAAAAACTGACAACAAGAATCTGGCTGCATACTTTTATGGATAGGTTACAGTTTTGTTATTAGGATTAGACGCTCTTTCTTGTACAAAGTAACCATCACTACTTGGGCCACACGACTTATTTACTCTTTCGGGTACATTTTATTTCCGAAATAACTGATATCATTCTCTTAAATATGCACTCATTAGGAACAATTCTATTCGCTCATTCATTCAAAGCTTTTTGATGAAATTCAGTGCACATGCCTTCAGAGGAGTCAGTGTTTGTAAATCCAGAGCTCTATTTTATTGATGAGGACTTTGTGTTTTGAATTTGAAGTGACAGTTGCCTCTCTGTGTTAATGTGGTATAACAGGTTGTACTGATATACGTATGCACGAAGTTCTACGTTGTGACTGACTCAATGTCTCCATTTAGTAGCCAATAATATTCTTCTGTAACAGACTCCCGGGTGCAGTATATTGGGTACCGTTGGGTAATTATTCTTCAGCCTTAATAATCAGTTGATAAATCCTTGATATTTTAAATAGGATGGCTGTTATTATTTATAAATTAAGTTTTGT